GCCTTAGAGTAAGGGGCAGTGTTTGCACTGGTGGGGCGCGGGGTACTGTGCAGCTTGTCTTTACCAATCATAGCGGCCGGCTCTGTTCCGCTTGGGTACGCTGTCCTCTTGCGGGGTTTTCTTTTTCTTTTGTTTATATACCTGGTGGGGGGGTCTGCCTTCGTTCTTGCCCCTTGTGTCCCTTGTGTTCTGAGTATTTCTGGTGGTACCCCCTGCTAGGTCCCCGTGAGTGTACACGTCCCGGGGGTTCAGCTCTTAGAAAGTTGTTTGGTAGCTTGGGTGCCGGTTAGCAGTACCCTGCCTGGGATTACCTGAGCGCGAGTCCTCTTAAAGTAAACGCTCGGGACCCTGGGAAACCCCTGGGGGCGCGCGGGTCCGATGGATGTGACCCCAGAGCCCCCCCCTCGCTTCCAGCGAGTTTGAGGGTTGCTCTCACCTTTTGTCTCTGGGTGACTCTCTGTTTTGCCTCCGTCTGCTGCCTGTGGGGTCGGTGACACCTTCGACCCGGTGTCCTGCGAGTTTGGTTGCTCGTTGTGGCTCGGTTACCCAGTTGTGCTAACAAAGCGGGTGCGGGCAGCAGGGGCGTTGCACCTGAGCCTTGGTGGTGGCAACGTTCTCGTGGTTTCCTCCCCGGGAGCCCCGGGGCTGCCCCGTTGTATTTCGTTTTGGGACTTGGGGGTGTTGGTTGCTTCGGTTCCATCCACGCCCCCTTGTCTTTCCCCTGGTTCACCCTTCCTGCCTGCATCCGGTTCCTTACCGTCTGTAGGTTCAGGGCGGGGTGTTTGGTGGTGTTGAGACTCGGGCAGTCTCGGGGAATTCCCCTTCCAGGGTAGTGACGGGGGCATTTGGGCCTGTTCCTCCAGCCGTGTTGTATGAGTCTGCCAGTGGGCTCCCTTCCTTAGTGTTTTCACGGCTGCCCCGGTTTTCTGGTACGGCCGGGGCTTTGGGGGTACAGCTCGGCCCCGGGGCCTGTCGTGTAGGTTCCCGGGGCTGGGGAGGGGCTGACTTGGGGGGGCCTTGGCCCCGTTAGACCCCGTGGGGGGTTTTATCCCCCTCTAGGCGGGGCTTGTGGTTACGCGGAATGGGGTCTTTCCTCCCCACTCGCCGTACGTGCTGTTGGACGTCGGCCCCTCCCCGGGCTCGGTTCCTTGGCCTTTAAGTCGGTTGGTTCCGTCCTGTGGGTGGATGTTTCCTCCCCCGCTTTTTGGGACGGTGTTTTTGTCATGTTTCCCCGTTCGATGGGGTTCTGCGTGACTTTTGATCTCGGGTGCGCCTGCGCCTTCATGTGCCTTCGGGACTCGTGTTGGCTTCTGTGTTCTCGAGGGTACGGGAAGGTTTTTCGCTACTTCCCGCATTATTGGAACGTCTGTCGGCTCCTAGTACTTGTCGCCCTGTTGGGCTACTTGTCGCCCTGTTGGGCTACTTGTCGCCCTGTTGGGCTACTTGTCGCCCTGTTGGGCTACTTGTCGCCCGGTTGGGCTACTTGTCGGCCGTTTGGGCTACTTGTCGCCCGTTTGGGCTACTTGTCGCCCGTTTGGGTTCCCTTTTTTTTGGGCTCTTTGCTTCTTTGGCCGGTTTTATTGTTCCTGCTTCCTCTTTTGGCTCTTTTTCTCGTGCAATAGTCCTGGCTGGCGCCTTCCCGCAGGGAGGGTGTGCGGTTCGGCCAGCGTGTTATGCGCATGCGCCGTGGAGTTTGTTTTGGTCTGGGCGATGGTTCAGTGCTGGGGTTTTGCGCCCTTTTTTGCTACAGTGCTTCGCCTCTCGTTCTTTTCCCTGGCTGCGGTATGTGCCCCTTTGCGCCAGGGGTGTCCTGGTTCCCAGTTGTGGGGAGGACACCGCGGTTTTCTGTGTCATGGGTGTGGACCGCCTCCTTCGCCTCTCCCTGTTCTCCTGCGGGTCCGGCTCTGGCGTCTTCACCTGGCGGTGCTCCCAAGTTCTTCTGGGCACGGTTAAGTCGTGTCAAGTTCGAGCCACCATTCGCCAGGTGAGTTTCTGCGGTCTGGCGTCTTTTGGCCGGGCGCTGGATGCGGCGGTGTTCATATACCTGTCTTTATTTAGGTATAATTTTGTACGACTGAGACCGTTCGCACACCAGTGACTGTCCCTTTATCACCCCTTCCTGTCCCCCTCATGTGCATGTCCAACCCATGCTGGAGTCGTTCAGGGGACCCTCCTTTTTTAATGTTGTGAGGTGTGGGGGTTGTAGGGTTGGTTCTGTACTCACCTGGTGAGGCTCCTGGCTGTGCTTGCAGGATTTGAGCTCTGGCTCTTGGGTCCCGCCTATCTGGTAGAATTTGCGGGATAGTACCAGTGGAGTGCAGTGGTGCTATTGGCACTTTTGGGGAACACTGTATTACCATCAGTGGTCTGTGCTTGTTACACGACCTACTTGCGAGCATAAGCCTTCTTGCTGGTTCGTCCGTGGACTTCCAGGGCGCACTGGCCTGTTTTCGTATGGCAGTTCCGGCCCGTCCTGGTTGTGGGGGTATGTGGGCCGGTGGACTGCTCCTAGCAGCTGCCTGGTGGGCCATCCTCTGGCCGGTCTGGCCTGGCCTTAGGCCGGGCTTGAGGTGTAAAAGAGCTCCCAGTACCTCATCCAGCAGGTATCGAGCGGGGTTTCTCCGCCGTCGGTCGCCTGGTGCAGGTTTCTGGGCCTGCAGGGTTTTGTCGGGTCTCCGTTGGCCCTGTCTGGGGTCTGCCTGCTCCGTTCTCTGCCTTTGCAGAGGGGAGTTGCTATTTACATGTTGCATGTTGCAGTGGTGCCTGTTGCTGCTGCTGCTGCATGTGAGCATTGGTACCGTGTTTCACGGTGGCGTGTCCTTGTTCCTGTGTCCGGTTGTGGAGTGGCGCTTTGCTGCCGTTTTGTGCCTGGGGATTGCGTGGGGTTTTTGTCCCTGCCTGATTGTCCACCCCTGGTTGTTCTCCTGTTTTTTTTTTTTTTTTTTTTTGTGCTTCTGCTCTTTCTTCCTGCCTCTTCTGCAGCAGGAATGTTCTGCGTGTGTTCTTAGGCGTTGGTCAGCCTGTGTCCTGTGAGGTGCTTCTTTGTCTCGGTCTGTTGCAGTTGTTCGTGCCCCTTGGTTCGGGTCCTGTTCTGGCGGCGACCCTTCCGCCTTCTTTGGTTTTCCTCGCTTGCCCTGCCGGTTGTTGTTGTTTTATTTTTTTTTTTGGGGGGGTTCTTGCGATGTCTCGCGTCGGACCCGTCGTTTCTGAACTCCTGGCGGGCTTGCATGCTTCGGAGTTTTTCTGTTCGGCAGACGTTCCATCTCCTTGTGCCGCCTGGGTTTCGGTGGTCGCGCCCGAGATCTTCTCGCGGCTCCGCCTTTTTCCTGGGCTCGGGGGGGCCTTGTCGGGGCTGCTTATGTTCTGCCTCGTGGTCTCGCCTCCGGTTGGTGGTCGGGTGGCTTCGTGGTAGGTGTCCCACCTGCGTGCTTTCTTGGCGGCAGTATGGGGTATTTTGGCGGTCCTTCCTTTTCCTGTCCCTTCTTCGGTGGGTCCTTCTTGTTGGCTTGGTTTACTCTCGGCTTGGTTTTCTAGTGGGGGTTGGGGGCCGTCGTCTTGCCACATACTGTCGCCTCTTTTCGTGCGGCGCAGGCGGAGCCGCTTCAGCTTGCTTTCGGTCTTGGTGTTGCTTCTGCACCGTTAGTCAGCTGTCTTGTGCGTCATTTCACCTCCGGCCTGTTCGTGCGCCGCTTGCACCATCCTGGTCTCTGGTCAGCGTGCTCTGTCTTCTCCTCGGTTGGTAGTGCCCCTTCGGTTCCGGTGTGTTTTTTCGTCGGCTCTTTCCTTTGGGCCTTTGCCTCTGGGGGTCGGTTCGCTGTGTTTTCTTGCTCCTTCGGTTTTAGCGTTTTGGTTGTTTGATGGCAGCAGTCTCCATCTTTTCTGGCGCGGGGTGGGGCTGCTGCATTCTGGAGGGGTCCAGGGTTTGTTGGTGCTTTGTTGGTCGGGCCGGGGGTGTGTCGTTTTTGTGTTCAGTGGCGGCCCTCTGCTGTTGTTTGCGTGCCACGGCGTTTGGGTCCGGAGCGCGTTTTGCGTTGATCCGGTTCTGTTCTTCCCGGTTCGCGGGTGATGGTGTCCCGGGTGGTCAGCCGTGTTCTTGCGGCTAGGCTGCCTGTGTTCTTCCCTCATGCCTGTGGCGTTCGTGGCTTCGCTGCTCTCGCTGCCGTCTGGGCGACGTGGCCTTGCAGTCTTTCGGGCATGGATTTTTGGTGTTCGTGCAGGGGCCTTGCTGCTCGTGGTTCTCGTGTTGTTCCTGGGATTTTCGGGGCTGTGGCGCCTTGGGTTGGCGTTTGCTGCCGGTTGTCTCGCCTCCTTGGGGGGTGCGTGGTGTCCGCCTCCCGGTTTTGTCCCTTTGACCTTCCTCTGTGGGTAGTTAGCTCCGGGGAGCCGACGGGGCTCCCCCCAGAAAACCAGCGTTGAATGTAATGAAACGCCATTTTCTGGGTGAGACCCGGAGGCTCCCCGGCAACCCTCCCTCCCTCCGGTCGGCGTTTTTCGCGTGTTTTGACATCCAGCCTCAGAACTGATGGGTGGATAGCCGGCGTGGGAGGTCTGGGGCTCCCCCTTCCCCCTCCCGGGGAGGGGGGAGCTGCGCAGACAGCGGCGCGGTGACGTATGACGTCATACTAGTTTCCGTGTTTTCTGTTGAAGAGTTCTATTCACTAGTTCGGCTTAGGTAGCAATTTTCACCAGAATAGGGGTTTGTTTTGGAATGCTTACCTTTCTGGATGCTTGACCCGGTCGATGGCAGACATAGAATGCTTCCAACCACACGGGGGTTTCTATAGGCCATTGCTCCCCTTGCCTCTCTGAGGGGGCCAGGTTCTGGCTCGTGGTCCCCGGTAGGCCCTAGAACTCCATACACATGACTGATGCCAAAGTCTGACATTAGCATATCAGCCGGTAAAGCTCCGGGGAGCCTCCGGGGCTCATCCAGAAAATGGCATTGTATTACATTCAACGGTGTTTTTTATGGATGCTTACAAATTGATCTTGTCCAACAGACATACACAGGGTCCATCCTGGTGGCAGTGAATCCATACCAAATATTACCAATCTACACAGTGGATCAGATCAAGCTATACCGTGGAAAGAAGATTGGAGAGCTTCCACCACACATCTTTGCCATTGGCGACTCCTGCTACAACAACATGAGGCGCTTCAAGCAGGACCAGTGTATCGTTATCAGGTATGGTCTGGCCTAGTTTGAGGCAGTCTTTTATTATACATCTTGTTTACTTATGTTTACATTGCTGCTTGCCTTGGGCAATAGAGAATGTAGTTTTTAGACTAGTGCCTCCTACCTGGTAAATTTCCTTCTTCTATATAATAATAATAATAATAATAATAATAATAATTTTTATTTACAATAATGTGCAATGGGTTGGTGAGATTGTATAAGATAGGTATTTTTACATTCTTGCAAAGCCACTAACACACACAGCATTTCAAGCAGGTCCTTAATCTGACATATCTGGTAAATGCTAATCTTAGCGTTTCCTTAATCTAACATATCAGGTAAGGTGAAAAGGTACATTGTAGCAAGGTTTTATATTAACAAATAACTACAATATAAGTTGACAGAGGTGATTACACTGTTAAGGATATATGTCTTAAGTACTAATATTGGGGAAGGTGGCAGTACAAGATACAGTGTGAGTTTGAAGTACACGATAGGAAACTAGGAGGAGGAAATTATGTACTTTTTGGTTTTACTCTTGAATAAGGCATAGGGTAGAATACTATCCTAGTACTATAGTACTAGGTTAACCTAGTACATAGGTTAGTACTGTACTATCATACTTGCTCTTACCATAAATATGGATTGTTTCCACCACTTCTACCTCAAGCTTTTTCCACTTGTTCATGCTACTACATCCACTAGGTTCTGCAAGCATTATGCCTTTGTGCAGCCTCTTTTCCCTATTTTGATATCTACTGTATAATTACATCCCTCGTATACCGTGCTGGCCATCTGGCCTCTTCTCCATCCAGAAGTCTCATTATTTTGCATTTGTTAAGATTTAACTTCCGTAGCCATTTGTCTGCCAATACCTGCTATTCCTGTGGTATCATGTAATCATCTTTGGTCTGTAACCTTCTTACCAGTTACATGTAGTGTGCATATATTGTCATGCATGATGTTGCCTCCTCCAGGAAGTCATTTACATAAATTGCTTCATCATTATAATTTATTATCATCACCTTACCTTATTACTAATGTTACATTAAGTAGTCATTACCTGACAAATTACATTAAATTACTGCACGTTCTCAACTGCATTGTTAGCTTTAAGATTTGCTGAAATACTGTGTAAGTGGCTTTGCAATAATGTATGCAATAATGTTCATATGATTATGAACATTAATGTTCATATGATTATGTATTGTGAAAGCACACCACCGGGTAGTGTTAGTTGGACCATATTATATGCTAGAAAATGGAGAAAATAAATAGGCATAACTCTGTGAGTAATGACAACAAATTAATTTCCCAATTTCTCCCTCATTACCAATTTCCCTGTGACTATAATAGTACTATTGAGCTTGGCTCTCGATCCACTTGCTACCATTGCTGTATTTTATGAGACCTTTAGACTAATTTCATTGCATTCATCATACTCCTCCCTGGGCTTATAATTTTCTTGTTACATAACTTGTAATAAGAGGCTCTTCAAGCAGAACCAGTGCATCATTATCAAGTACAGTCTGGCCGAAGCATATGCAGTATTATTAGGTACGTACAGTAGACTAGTATGCACTCGAGAAGGTTCCATGGGGTCTAGATTGGTGTTGGAGTACCAAAGAAGTGTTGTATTCTAAGACTAGGTCACCTTAATCATCATTGTTAGACTGGAAAACTTTCTTGGTAGTTATAAGGGGAAAAGCATAGCAAACTTCAGTTTGATTTTGTATTTATGATATTGATGGAAACTTATTTTTACAGTGGAGAATCTGGTGCGGGGAAGACAGAGAGCACCAAGCTTATTCTCCAGTACCTGGCGGCCATCTCTGGCAAGCACTCCTGGATTGAGCAACAGATCTTGGAAGCCAATCCTATTCTAGAAGGTCAGTCATATGCCAATTAGTTACTCATAAAGCAGACAACCCTATGAAATACCACTGTGAAAATATATAAAGAAAACTAAAGTGATTTAGAGTAATCCTCAGCATACTGTAATTTGACAATAAATCACTACAACTGAGCCTTTCTTGATATTCTTTAGAAAGCCAGAGTAACCCCAGTCAATAAAAGTGGAAATTACACTCACATTAACAACTAGACCAATATCAATGTTATCCAGCGTTATCTAAAATATTTGTGAAATTGATGTGCAAGCAGTTTCACTCCTACCTAACTAAACATATACTAAACTCTTGTCAATTTGGCTTGACACACACTGCTTCTGAAAAACAATGAACTACTTGACTCTGTACTTGACTGGACTGTTTATTAACATTTAAATGTCATTTGTGACATTTAAATGTTAATAAACAATAATCTCTGACCGTCCAAGTGGTTGGACACCATTCCTTTTCTCCATCCCATCCCAAATCCTTATCCTGATTCCTTCCCATTGCTATATGGTTGTAATGGTTTGGCACTTTCCCTCTGATAATTCCCTTCCTCCCCTACCCTACTCCCTCATTTTTTGTTTCTTAGATTGTTAAAATACATTCCCTGATCATGGGAAACTATACAAAAAATATTTTGAGACATAATTTAGCCATGATGTAGTAAGGAAGTTGAGTAATTTATGGACATTGAGCGAGTACTTGGTAGCTCTGTGGTGGGAGAGGAATGTAATAACCTTAAAACTGGTTATCAGAGTTCAGCTTAGTCCCGCATTGTTTACATGAAGTTGTAAGCATTGAATATATCATATTTTCTTCATGGTGTAATTGTTTTTACCATGGTTTTTCAAGTGTAATGATGCATTGGGCTGTCGCTATTATTTGTATCTCGGAACATGTAGAATAGTGATACTGTACTCACAGATATTCAGTATTCGTGTCATGTACTAATAAGTTCAAACATTATATTCAAGTTGCAAGTTGCAAACATTATGCAAGTTGGTGATTAAAAGAGGTTAGCTTTTCAGTTCAATACTTCAGTAATACCTTACATGCAGTATATTTGTATTTTTAATTTATATTTCTAATTTATATATATTTGATTGGGCAGTTTCAGTTCAATGTAACAGCCAGCAATTCACCAAATAAATAATGTAATCTAACAATCATCACTACCTCCCACAGCATTCGGCAATGCGAAAACAATCCGAAATGACAACTCCTCGCGCTTTGGTAAATATATAGACATCCACTTCACAAAGGATGGAGTGATCGAGGGGGCGTCTATCGAACAGTACTTGTTGGAGAAGTCTCGTCTAGTCTCCCAGGGTATCGATGAGAGAAACTACCACATATTCTACTGCATGTTAGCTGGCATGACCCGGGAGGAGAGGCAGAAACTAGAGCTAACAGACTCATCCCAGTACAAATATCTGACAGGAGTGAGTGAAAATTAAAATACTGGACAGTATTTATTGCTGTCTGGCAAAAAGTTAGCTTTATTTATACTTTTACTTTATCATTATATGTAATGGCCTTATTCCATTAGACATACCATTATCCAAGACTTTTTCTAAGCTGAAATCTATGCTAGTCAAGATATATATATATATATATATATATATATATATATATGTCGTACCTAATAGCCAGAACTCACTTCTCAGCCTACTATGCAAGGCCCGATTTGCCTAATAAGCCAAGTTTTCATGAATTAATGTTTTTTCGTCTACCTAACCTAACCTAGCTTTTTTTGGCTACCTAACCTAACCTTACCTATATATATAGGTTAGGTTAAGTTTGGTAGGGTTGGTTAGGTTCGGTCATATATCTACGTTAATTTTAACTCCAATACATAGTGAAAAGGGTAGCTTTATCATTTCATAAGAAAAAAATTATAGTAAATATATTAATTCAGGAAAACTTGGCTTATTAGGCAAATCGGGCCTTGCATAGTAGGCTGAGAAGTGCATTCTGGCTACTAGGTATGACATATATATATATATATATATATATATATATATATATATATATATATATATATATATATATATATATATATATATATATATATATATATATATATATATATATATATATAATATAATATATATATATAATATATAATATATATATATATATAATATATAATATAATATATAATATATAATATAATATATATAATATATATATATATAATATATAATATAATATATAATATAATATATAATATAATATATAATATAATATATAATATAATATATAATATATAATATATAATATATAATATATAAATATATAATATAATATATAATATATATATATAATATAATATAATATATAATATATAATATATAATATAATATAATATATAATATAATATTTATTTATTTATAAATTTATTTATTTATTTATATACACACTCATACTCACACATGGGTTGCCAAATTCTGTGAACTATACAATGAAGGTACAACAAAATATATACCAAAGCAGAGATGCAGAACTAGAAAACAGAATTGGTTCAACAGAAATTGAGAGAGGGCCAGAGAGGAAAAAATACAAGAAAATATATACAATAAAGGAAGAGGCCATACCATCAAACATAGCAGCACTTCAAACAAGCAAAAAAACAAATACATTGTACACAGCAATGAGGAAAGAGGCAGAAAAGAACTTTGAGAAAGCAGGTAGTGGACAAATATAAAACAGATCCAGGCCTTTTCTATAAATTCATTAAAGTCAAGCTATAAAGGATAAAGTACAGAGATTGAGAATGGGGAACAGGTTCACTGAGAATGAAAAAAAAAATGTGTGAATTACTAAATGAACTATTCCTAAGTGTGTTGCCCAACCACTTGGACTAAATGGTAGAGTGATGGACTCACTTCATGCAGATCAGTGTTCAATCCCTGACTGTCCAAGTGATTTGGTACCACTCCTTTCCGCCCGTCCCATCCCAAATCCAAATTCTTAGTTTTTATAATTCATAATTCATTGTGTCGGGGGACAGGAAGCCAGAATGTATTCATGCATGTTAGGCTTATTTCGAGGTCCCCCTCCCCCAAGGTCGAACTACTGACCCCACCCAGGATACAACCCCACAACAAGGTGACTAACTCCTGGGTACCTACTTATTATTAGGTAAACAGCGGCATTAGTCGAATGGAAATGTGCCCAACCATTTCTGTCCCGCCCAGGATTCAAAATCGGAATTCTTGATTGTGTGTTGAGAATGAACCCGCCTCTACTACCGGAGCCCTGATATGATAGAGCCACAGAGATTCTAAAGGAAAGAGATGGTTGGGTTGACTGTGTATATCTGGACCTAAAAAGGGTTTTGACAGAGTCCCATACCAGAGATTGTTTTGGAAGCTGGAACATGTTGGACGGGTGACAGAAAGACTTCTGATATGGCTGAAAAATTCTCTGACAGAAAGATGAGGGCAGTAATTAGAGGCAATTTATCTGACTGGAGGAGTGTTAAGAGTGGAGTGTTGCAGGGTTCAGTTCTTGTACCAGTCATGTTCATCGTCTACATAAACCATCTACCAGAAGGACTACAGAATTATATGAGCACGTTTCCAGATGATGCTAAGATACTGGGGAAGATAGGAGACATAAATGCCCTTCAAATTGATCTAGATAAAATAAGTGCTTCAAGCATCATGTGACAAATGGAATTCAGTGTGAATAAATGTCATGTTATGGAATGTGGAATAGGGAAACACAGACCACATACAACCCACAAATAATGTAGAAAGGACCTCAAGAACTCTAACAGAGATAGAGATTTAAGGGTGGTTCTGGATAGTAGACTGTCACCAGAGGAACACATAAAGGACATTGTGTGAGGATCTACCTACATACTTTGTAGCTACCTTGTGTAGCTATCTTTTGTCATCTGCAAAAGCTGAAACAGTACTGTAGTTTGTATTCTTGTCTATGTCTGATATTAGGATGAGAAAAAGTACCGGAGCAAGTACGGTACCTTGAGGGACTGCACTTTTCACAGTAGATGATCCAGATTTTACTGTGACTGTTAGACACTATGCTCTGCTTGCTAGGAAGTTGAAGATCCATCTCCCTACTTTGTGGGGCAATTCCTTTTCACCCATTTTGTGGGCAATAACACCATGGTCACATTTGTCGAAAGCTTTTGCAAAGTCTGTGTATATTACATCTGCATTTTGCTTGTCTTGCATGGGACCTTAGGCCATGTCATAGTTATCTAGCAATTGCTGAACTTTTCAACTTCAGTATCGGTTTTAATTACTCGCCGAAATACTGAAGAAATTGTACATGTCGTTTGTAAGACCGAAATTGGAATATGCAGCAGTGGTGTGGTGTCCATATTTCAAGAAGCATATCAATAAACTGGAAAAGGTGCAAAGGCATGCTGCATAATTGCTTACAGGACTCAGAACTTAAAAACAAAGAGTTATAAAGAGAGTCTAGAGACATTACATATGCCAAAGCTAGAAGATAGAAGAAAATAGCCAATATGATCACCACTTACGAATAATAACAAGAATTGACCAAATTGACAGGAATTCCTGAAACCAGCAACCTAATAAACATGAGGTCATGAGAAACAAAGGTTCTGAAAAAATATTTGAATGTGTGCTTTTGCAAACAGAATGGTAGACTGTTGGAACAAATTAAGGGAGAAAGCAGTGGAGACCAAAGTTGTCAGTAGCTTCAAACAGTGCTGGGAAGACGAGATACCACGATCGTAGTTCTCATCCTGTAATTACACTTTGGCAATTACACTTTGGTAAATACACACATGCACAAAATTTCATAACATAACCACTTTTGTAATTTTTTCATTTTATGTCATTATCATAAATATCTAACCATTATTTCCTGTAACTTTCTTGCATCCCTAGCGGGTACATGCATCCCCACCTGAAAAAACTGGGAAAAAGACGTGGATAATTTATAACACCTGGACTAAATCCAGTAGAGCATATCATGAATGTACATGAGAACCTGCAGTGTTTGGCTTTTTCAGGGGGGCAGCATCACCTGTGAGGGACGAGATGATGCTCGGGAATTTGCAGATATTCGCTCAGCTATGAAGGTGCTTATGTTTAGCGATTCTGAGGTATGGGAGATACTAAAGCTGCTCGCTGCAATCTTGCACACAGGCAATATCAAATTTAAAGGCAAAGTCATAGGTGAGTGATGTTGTAAACTTATTATACAAAACATCCTAGCACAATTGTTTAGAATGTAGCAATTACTTTGCCACCGTCCAAAGTATTAGGTGGGCATAGTGAATGTGTGTGGGGGGAATCAGGAAGTAAGAATGCACACGATACAGTTAGGGACAAGACAGCGTGGAACTGCTTTGTAAAATGAATAAATGTACTTGCACAGTATACACAACACTGTATACACAACAGTGTATAGACAAATTTATGTGAAACACTATACTCTCTTGTCAGGATTCAGCAAGTACCATAGTGGGGAGTGACTGGGTATGATTGCTGGAGTGTAGAGGTGCTTGATTATCGCTGCTGCTATGGATTGTGCATGATATAATAAATGGATGAATTATATTTTAAATATTTCTTTTTAATTAACATCTATATCTTTCTTTTTGCTACATAATTAAGCATCAGTATTTCTCCTGACTGATGCGTCTGCATGCATTGAAAATGGAAAATGATGCCATGGTAATGTTTATACATATGTACAGTTATGCATAGTAATGAAAGTTTGTTGGAAATTGTTGTTTATTTGTAAAATTTATTTCTGTTACTTAATTCTCCATCAGATAACTTGGATGCATCGGAGATCCCAGACACGACATCGATGGTGCGAGTGGCCCGGTTCCTGGGTGTTGAGCCACGAGCCATGAAGGAGGCTCTCACCACACGAACCATTTTTGCACAAGGCGAAACTGTTGTAAGTACATTACTGGGTTATCTAATTACCTAAGTGTAATTGCCTAAATATATTTTAGAGGATGAGAACTACGCTTGTGGTGTCCCGTCTTCCCAGAACTCTGTCATATGACTCCTTGAAACTGACGGTTTTGGCATCCACCACTATCTCACTTAACTTGTTCCCAACCCTCTACCACTGTGTTTGCAAAAGTGAACTTTACATTTTTTTTGTCAGTTTTGTCTACTTAGTTTTGTTTATGATGGACCCCTGCCTCTTTTGAATTTGGGTGTTCTTTTCCATATTGGATGCGTTACGAGGTTCCGGAGTCTTCCTGGCTGACAGACAGTTCCTTCCTCTTACTTGGAGCTTGGCATGGCTTTTGTCGGTCCTGCATGCTTGAATGTTGTGAGGTGTCAGTCATGTTACAGGTGCTTCTGGGGAGGCTCTTCTTTTGCCCCTCCCATTGACTGCCTGTTTACTCCTACTCTATTTTGGGACGTGGGTCTTGTACAGCTCCATGGCCAGTTATCTTGTTGTTGGAGGGGCTTGTGGCAGATAACCTTGGGACAGTCTGCATTTAGGTTCTGTCATGCATTTCCTGGGACTCCTGCAGCTTCATTCCTACTGGCTCCAGGAGGCTATTGAAGCACTTGGAGGGGAGCCTTTGAGGTACTTTTCTGCAGTCTGCAATAGAGTTGGTCGGTTCCTTCCCTTTCTGGGGGTTTGGGTCTTTCTGGGTAGGCCCTCCTCATCAATTTCCTGCCTCTTTTTGGTTTTAAGGTGGGACTTGATGGACCTGTGGTTCAACTTTGGTCTTTCGTGGTTAAACCAGTTTGTCCCTTTTCCTTTCATAGTGAAACCAGTTTGTCCCTTGCCCTTTGTTCTGAATGACCTCTCTGTCCCAGGTCCGTCTCATTCTGAAGGTGGATGATTGGATGATCTCTCTGAACCTCCAGGCTACATATTAATGTCCCTATACATTGGAGGTTCAGGGGGTTGCCTAGGTTTACTGCTTTTGGATTCTCCCATTTGGGCACATTGACTCCACACGTGTACACGTGTTTGGCTTGGGTTACCTTGACTTGTCTTCGTTCGTTAGGGCTTAGCTCGACGATTGGCTGGTGTGGGATCCCAGCTGGTCTGTGTTTGCTAGCCAGGCATCTGCTTCTTTTCCAGCTCGCTGGGTCATGTTCCTGGTGAACTGGTGGAAGTCCCAGTTGGGTTCATTCCAGGTTCGTACTTGGCTGTGGCCTCATGTTGGTTTGAATTTCCCTTTTTCCAGTGGCCTTGACCAGCTGCAGCACTGTCATCTGTTGGTGTTGAGTTAGACCCGGGTGACTTGACGGTTGCTCGAGAGGTTGTGCGGGTTCTTGACCTTTGCCTGCATAGTTTATTCTCTGGGCAAGGTGTGGTTTTGGTTGCTGTTCTGGTACTGCCGGTGGAGCCCCTTTCACCGAAAGTCTAGCCAGCCTGAGGTCTACCCTTGTTCCAATGATGTTATGTCACTTTTCGGCTGTGTTTGTGAGCATGCCCTGCTGATTTTCAGGTGAAGAGGTTTTGGAGGACAAAAAGGGTTCTGGCAGCCTGGTATTTGGTGGAGGTACCTGGGTCTTGGCACACTTTTCTGTGGGGAGCCCCGGAGGCTCCCTCGAGTTTATCAGGCTAATGTATGTTATATTAGACCAGGACTTTAGCTAAGGAGTTCAGACCTACCAGGGACCAGTGCCAGAACCTGGCCCCTTCAGAGAGGTTTCAGGGAACAATGGCCCTGGAAAACCCCCTTGTGGTTGGTTTTTTTCCTTATATCTGCCATCGACCGGGGTTAGGCACCCAGAGAGGTAGACATAACAAAACAAACTGCATATGGTAAAAAATTAAAACAAAAAACTGAACAGAGAGGTAGAGGAGGTGTTCCAGGGCTCGGGTCTCCCAGGTTGCCCACAGGGTTATTAAGTCTAGCCAGCCTGCGGTCTATCCTCGCGCCCATGACGTTCGGAAGTTTGCAGCTTTGGCTGCCGTGTTTGGTAACATGTCTTGGGCTCATATTTGGGAGCGTGGATTTTGGAAGTCGAACAGGGTCCTGGCCGCCCATTATTTGGTGAACGTCCCTGCTCCTCGTCGTTCTTGTGTTGCTTTGGGTCGCAGGTTGCAGCCAGTTGTCTCGACTTCGCGTTGAGGAGTTTGTGGCCGCCGCCTCCCGGGTAAGTCCCTAATTCCTTCTCTTTGGGTATGTAGTTCCAGGGAGCCGTAGGGGCTTCCCACAGAAAACCAGCGTTGAATGTAATGAAACGCCATTTTCTGGGTGAGCCCCGGAGGCTCCTTGGCTACCCTCCCTCCCATCCGGTCGGCGGGGTTTTTCGCTTTGGTTGAAGTCTAGTTTCCGAACTGAAGGCAGTCGGCGCGGTGAGGTCCAGGGGCCCCCCTTTCCCCTCCGGGGGGGGGGCTGTGCGGACGACCGGCGCGGCAGTAAATTGATTGTTTGATTGTTCTTTGGGATTGTAGGGAGTTTTCTACCTCTGTTTGGTTTTTGTTGTAGTTTTTACTATGTGGGGTTTGTTTTGTTATGCCTACCTTCTGGGTGCCCAACCCTGGTCGATGGCAGATAAGGAAAACCCCAACCATATGGGGTTTTCCAGGGCCATTGCTCCCTGAAACATCTCTGAAGGGGCCAGGTTCTGGCACTGGTCCCTGGTGGGTCTGAACTCCTTAGCTAATGTCCCAGTCTAACATAACATACATTAGCCTGATAAGCTCCAGGGAGCCTCCGGGGCTCACCCAGAAAATGGTGTTTCATTACATTAAACACTGTTTTTTTTTTAATCTTGTTTTCAGAGGGAAACTGGGGACAGATTTGATCTGCTGTTTAGAGTGATCCACTGTCTATAAGAAGGTCTGGGGTTGGGAGGATGTACTGTGAATGTACACAATGTATATATTTTAACAAATAAAATTGTGACCATTTTTCAGTTTTTATTATTATTATTATCATCATTAATTATTATTATTATTATTATTATTATTATTATTATTATTATTATTATTATTATTATTATTATTATTATTACTACTACCAATTCATGCTTAATTTCAGGTATCTCATCTAAGTCATAGTCAAGCCACAGACGTTCGCGATGCGTTTGTGAAGGGCATTTATGGTAGACTCTTTATCTGGATAGTGAGCAAAGTGAATGCTGCAATATTCAAGCCTCAGACATCGTTCAGAACGTCTATTGGTGTCCTCGATATCTTTGGCTTTGAGAATTTCAAAACCAACAGGTATTTAGGGTTTTGAAGTTTTATTATGTTTTATTTAATTTGGTAAATAAAAATCATTTGTTATTATTTGTCTATAGTAGATGGGTTAATCTGTTTTCTTGGAGAATGAAGTGATTTAAAAGTAGGTGTTGATGTACCGTGAACTTGTGACTGTTTAATGAACTTGTAAACTTTTGTCACTTTCCTTAAATAGCTTTAATTTTAACAGCTTTGAACAGTTCTGCATCAACTATGCCAATGAAAACTTGCAGCAGTTCTTTGTTCAACACATCTTTAAGTTGGAACAAGAGGAATACAACTCTGAAAACATCAACTGGCAGCATATAGAGTTTGTGGACAACCAGGACACACTTGACCTCATCGCCATCAAACAACTCAATATCATGGCACTAGTGGATGAGGAATCTAAGTTCCCCAAGGTGAGAATACTCTACTTTCCTTCCATGACCCATTATTAGTCTTGGACCCTTTCCCTCCCTCCCTCTAAAGGAAAAGTCCTTCTGCCATCTTTCTCTTCATTTCTAAATATTTTTCTTTTTCATTCCCATTTCCTCTGTCCTAATAAGACAACCTTCTCTTCCCTTTCTTACCAGAAACCTACTTTCTTTGTACACACTTAAACACTTGATGTATGTAGAAGCGGGAAAAGAAAATTAATGAGTAATTTATCCCCCCAAAATTTAGTTTTTTATTTCTTGGGGGAGCCCCTTTCGGCTCCCCGGAGCTTATCCAGGCTGATATGCTAATGTCAGACTTTGGCATCAGTTACGTGTATGGAGTTCTGTGGGCCTACTGGGGACCACGAGCCAGAACCTGGCCCCCTCAGAGAGACATGGGGAGCAATGGCCTATAGAAATTCCCGTGTGGTTGGAAGCATTCTATGTCTGCCGTCGACCGGGTCAGGCACCCAGAAAGGTAAGTGTCCCAAAACAAACCATTATTCTGGTGATCGATCATTACGTCACACGTCGCCACACCGCTGTTTGCGCAGCTTCTCCCTCCCCGGGAGGGGGAAGGGGGAGCCTTAGACCCTCATGCCAGCTATCTACCCGTCAGTTCTAAGGCTGATGCTAGAGGCAGAGGTCGTGTACTCTGGCTCCAGTGATTTTCCAGCACTGTGCTTAGTGTGGTGGCTGTCTTACTGGGATGCGAGAGCCAGGAGTTATTCTACAGTACTCGGGCTGCATGCGCCTAGGGTTACCTTCCCTAGGTGCCCTGTAAGTACTGCCCTCGGGGCTTGGGGCTACCTTCCACAAGTTCCTTGGGTCCTGCCTCTGCTGGGCTGTTTAATTGCTCAGTTTTTCGGCCGCCTTTTGGGTGCTTGGGTGTTTTGACTCCCTTGTTTCCCTTAGGGTAAGAGACAGTTTGCACTGGTATAGGGTGCAGGGTGTTGCGCAGCTTGTTTTCACCATTCGTTGCGGCCGGCTCTGTTCCTTTGGGTATGCTGTACTCTTGCAGGGTTTTCTTTTTCTTTTTGCCTTGTGGGAGGGGGAGGGGTCTGCCTTGCTTTGCCACTTGGTGACTGACCTAATACGGTTTTCTTCTGGTGATGCTCCCTGCTAGGTCCCCATGAGTGTACATGCCCCTGAGGTTCACCTTTAGAAAGTTGCTTGGTAGTTTGCACGCTGGTTAGCAGTACCCTGCCTGGGATTCCATGAGGGCGAGTTCCGTCTCAAGACCCTGGGAAACCCCACCGGGGGCGTGTGGGTTCGATGGATGTGAGCCGGGAGTCCCCCCCTCACTTCGTGCGAGTTTGAGGGTTGCTCGGTCCCCTTGTCTCAGGAGGACTCTCACTGTTTTTGCCTCCGTCATGCTGCCTGTTGGGTCGGTGACACTTTCGACCCAGAGTCCTGCGAGTTCTGTTGCTTGCTGGTGACTCAGTTTACCCAGTCTAATGATGATATTCTACGGGTACAGATGGCGCAGGCGTTGCATGTGCGCTTTAGGTTGTTGCAACGAGCTCGGTTGGTTGCTCACCCGGATGCTCCAAGGTTGCCCCGTTTTGCTTGAAGGGACCCGGACTTGGGGGTGGGGGTTGCTTCGACCTTGGTTCAATCCGCAGTCCCTTGTCCTTCCCCTGTTGTGGTTCGTTCTGGTCCTCCGCCCCCCTGCTTCTGGCCCCGAAACGTCTGAAGGTTTCAGAGTCAGGGCAGGGTTTAGATGGTCTTGAGACTGGCAGTCTCGGGGGATGTCCCTTCCTGTGTGGCGACGGAAGCATTCGAGTCCGATCTCCCAGCCGAATCCTCCGGGTCTGACCAGTGGGCCCCCCTTCCATCTGGCTTACACGGTTGCGCCGGCCTTTTGTTTAGAGACCGGTGCTCTGGGGGATGACTCGACCCCGGGTCCTGCGGAGGAGGATCCTGAGGGTGGGGAGGGGCTACCTTTGGGGCCTTGGGCTCCACTGGACCCCACCTGGGTTTTTCTGCCCTCTGAGCAGGACTTATTGTTACAAGGAGTGGGGTTCTCTTTTCCCCCTCTACGTACAAGTTGGATTTGATGTCTGCCCCTCCCCGGGTTCGGTTCTGTGTTCCCCCGGGTGAGTCGGTTCCGTCTTTCCGGAGGTTCTCGGCTTCCCGCATCCAACCGTCTGCGGTACAAGCGGCCCTTGTGGCTTACCTCCTGTGTGACCCGGATTACACCTCGGTGATGGATCCGTCGTCCTTCAGGTTTGGGACTTGGTTCCCTTTCTGGATCCGTTACGAGGTTCCGGAATCGTTCTGGCTGGTGGACTGTCCTGTTTTTGCCTTGGAGGCGTGGCATTCTTTCCGTCATTCTCTCATGCTTGAGTGGCGCGAGGCATTGCCGGTGGTTCAGGTTTTCCTGGGAGGTGACCTTGAGCACCTCAATGAGTGCTTGTTTGCCCCCTTCCCTGTCCTTTCCCGGGATGTTGGCGTCGTGAAGCTCCATGTGCAGGTTCGCTCCCTTTCGGCTACGCAAGTTGCTGAGGACTTGCGCGTCCGGGGCCTCTTGGCTTTGGCCTTGCATTTCTTTTCCCTCCTGGAGCTGTCGTCTGACTAGCTTGAGGATGTGGGGACGCTTGGGGTCGTTCCTGGGGTCCAGTGCCTTGGGCTCGGCGGCTTGATCGTCGGCGGCCTTGTTGAAGCTCTTTGCGCCGATCTTGCGGGATGCGGTTTCACTGTTTTATGCTTCCCGGCTCGTGTGTTGACAGGGAGGTTTTGCCTCCTCTCTTGAATCGCCCTGGTCCTGGCTTTTTAGGATGTCTTCGCCGTTTTGTCCTCTGCTTTTTGAGGATTCTGCAGTGGCACAGTATATTCAGGCTGCTTCGGCTACTTGACGCCCTATGTCTGACTTGGTTCTCCTGGGATCCAAGGGGGGGCCTTCTCGGAGGGGTCGAGCAGGGTTCGAGGTTCCTCTCGACGGGGTTGGCCACAATGCCAGTTTAGGGTCCGGTGCCGCCTTTGGACCCGCCTTCGTCTGGTCGGCATGGTGTTTGCTCTGTGGGAGGTTCTGGGTCTCATAAGGGGCGCTGGCTCTTTCGCGGTTCGCCCCACTGATTGGGCGATGGGGGAAAAGCTTGCGCTGTTCGCTTACGCCTGATCCCACGATTTGTGGGCGTTTTGGGTCATTTTCTTCGGCCGGCAGTGGCATTGGGTGGTCCCTCCTCCTTCAGGGGGTTCGGAGCTTGTGGGGCAGGCCTCTTTCCCTGCGCTCTGTCAGGTCATCTTTGAGTGGGTTCGCTTGCTCATGGTCAAAACGACAACGTTCCTCAGATGGATTTCTCGTCTGTTCCCAGTAACGAAACGGGACTGTGTGGACCTGCATTCTGGACTTGTCCCGTCTGAACCACTGGGTTCACTGCCCCTCATTTCGGATGACTAAGCTATTCCAGGTTCGGCTCCTTTTGGTGCCAGGCTCTTGAATAGTGACCCTGGACCTCTGGGACGCTTACTGGTATGTCCCGACTCATCCGAGGTTCAGGGGACTGGCTCAGTTTTGTTGTGGGGTGTCATGGTTACCGCTTTCGTTGTCTCCCATTCGGGTTGAACCTGGCACCTCGCGTGTTCACATGCCTTACCCGGGTCGTCGTGGCCCATCTGCGTCTCTTAGGTGTTCGGGTGTTGGCCTACTTCGACGACTGGCTGGTTTGGGCTCCCAGCCGGCCCCTCTTGTCTGCTAGCCAGGGACTTTGTTCTTTCCCAGCTCGTCGAGTTCGGGTTCTTGGTGAACTGGAGGAAGCCCCATCTGGTTTCATCCCAGGTTTGGACGTGGCTGGGTCTTGTGTGGGACTCCCGGACCGCTTCCTTGTCTCTTCCTCTGGAGTCTCTCCAGTGGCCGCGGTCCTGCTTGTGCCTGTTTTTGGGGGGCTCCTGGGTCACCCGGCGGTTGCTCGAGGGTCTGTGCAGGAGCCTGAACTTCGTGATGTTGGTTTATCTGCCGGGTCGGGTTTGGCTTCTTCGACTGTTCTGGTTCCTTCTGGGACCTCCCTTCCACCTCTCTCGCTATCGCTGGGTTCGGCCCCCAGGGGCCTTGCGTCGGCTGATGTATCGCTGGCTTCCTCTTCGTTTTTTTTGGGTTCAGTGCCTTGGCACCTCCCCGAGCCCTCGCTTGATGGACACATCGTCTCTCGGCTGGGGTTTTGTGACCAGTGCTCACCAGGCCTGCCAGGGGCGGTGGGGTTCGTCCTTCCGTCGAGCCCACAGCACGGTGTGGGAGTTCGCGGCGGTGTGGTTTGCTCTTCGGAGGGTTTGAGTCGCCCGCAGATCGACGATCCGGCTCCATTCGGACTGCTTCCCGGTGATTCATTGCCTGAACCAGGTGGGTTCGATGCAGTCCTTGGCTCTTTGACACTGTTTACTTCGGGTGACTTGTCTGCTGAGTTCTTGGGGTTTGGCTCTCCTGGCTGTTCATGTGCGGGGGGAGTGTCTAACGTCTTGGTCAACGTCCTGTCTCGTTTCGTTCCCTTGTCCACAGAATGAACAGTCGATGCCGACTCCTTCTGTTGACTTTACCTGAAGTTCGGGTGCCTCGAGATGGACCTATTCGCGTCTGCGTGGTCGAGGCGCCTTCCCCTTTATGTGGCGCCCTTTCCCAACTGCAAGGCTGTCAGGGTTGGTGCCTTTCAGCAGCATTGGTCTAGGTGGGGGTTCCTGTACCTCTTTTTTTCCAGTTCAGTTGTTGTTCCAGGTCCTGACTCGCTTGGAGACTTACCAGGGGAGAGTAGTCCTCTTGGCCCTATGGTCGCCGGCTCAGCCTTGGTTTCAGGCGCTGCTTGCTCGGTGTCCGAACCCCAAGGTTTTCCTGCAGCTCCGCCTTTTCCAGCAGATCGGACCAGAGCGTCACGTTGCTGGTTTGATCTTCTCCTCAAGTCTTTGCGCATAGTATTTTTGATTCGAGTTTTATCATCTCTAAGATGATCAGGTGGCATCCTTGTTAGTGTCCCACCTGTTAGTGTTAGTGTTAGTTTACCTTCTTCCTTGTTTGCGTGTGCGGGTCTCCCAGGTCGTCCGCAGTGTTATTAAGGCTAGCCAGCCTGCGGTCTATCCCTGTGCCCATGATGTTTGAAAGTTCGCTGCTCTTGCTGCCATCTTTGGCAACATGTCCTGGACTGACATTCGGGTGCAGGGATTTTGGCGGTCGAACAGGGTCCTGGCTGGTTGATATCTCGCGAACATTCCTGGGCCTCGTCAGGTCTGTGTCGCTTTGGGTCAGTTGTTGCAGCCAGTTGTCTCGACTTTGAGTTGAGGAGTGAGCAGCGACCGCCTCCCGGGTAAGTCCCTGTACCTTTCCTCTGTGGGTAGTTAGCTCCGGGGAGCTGAAGGGGCTCCCCCACAGAAAACCAGCGTTGTATGTAATGCCATTTTCTGAGTGAGACTCGGAGGCTCCTTGGCATCCCACCCTCCCTCCAGTCGGCGACTTTTCGCGTGTTTTGATATCCAGCCTCAGAACTGATGGGTGGATAGCCAGCACGAGGGTCTGAGGTTTCCCCTTCCCCCCCCCCCCTCCTGGGAAGGGGGGAGCTTGCAGACAACGGCGCGGTGACGTATGAAATCATGCTTATTTGCTCATTTCTTTTTGGGGAGTTCTATCCACTTGTTCAGCTTTTGGTAGCAATTTTCACCAGAATAGGGGTTTGTTTTGGGACTCTTACCTTTCTGGGTGCCTGACCCGGTCGATGGCAGACATAGAATGCTTCCAACCACATGGGGGTTTCTATAGGTTGTTGCTCCCCATGCCTCTCTGAGGGGGACCAGGTTCTGGCTCGTGGTCCCCGGTAAGCCCACAGAACTCCATACACATGACTGATGTCAACGTCTGACAGTAGCATATCAGCCTGGATAAGCTCTGGGGAGCCTCCAGATCTCACCCAGAAAATGGCGTTTCATTTCATTCAGCGCTGGCTTTATATATACAAGAGTTCTTTCATTCTTGTCATGATAAAATTACGACAAAAAAAGGACACCTAGCAATTCACCATATCAAGGTAACACCCCGCCACTTTGTAAGTCTTAGTGTATCACTATGCAGACAGGGAGTCACAATAACTTGGCTGAAATATTTTGACCAAACCACACACTTGAAAGTTACGGGGCGACGACGTATTGGTCCGTCCTGGACCATTCTCAAGTCATTTACAATCAACGTGAGAATGGTCTAGGATGGATCGAAACGTCGTCGTCCCTTCACTTTCTAGTGTGTGGGGTTTAGTCAACACTTAGTGCATCACGCTCCTCGTCAGTTGTCATATACAAACGCTGGAATGCATTATTTTGAATTCCCTCTAACCATACTGCAATCCCTTAGCCTTGTTCTATGCAACTTTTGAGTAGTACAGTTGTGTTCGTTCAAAACTCACAGCTGGGAATTCCAGGTTCTAATCCTGGGCTGGACATTATTGGTTGGGTGCATTTCCCGTCACTTGTTCACCTAGCAGCAATTGGGTACCCAGAAGTTGGATAGCTTGTTGTGGGTTGTATAACAGGGGAAGGTTGTTTGTTCGACTTGGGAAGGGGGGGAAGGGGTGGGGGACCTCGACATTAGCCTGTGTATATATGCACACACTCTGGCTGCCTGTCCCCTGAGACAATGATGATAATGAATATTATTATTAGTAGTAGTGGTATTTATTATTAATTATTATTTATTATTATTATTATTATTATTATTATTATTATTATTATTATTATTATATATATATATATATATATATATATATATATATATATATATATATATATATATATATATATATATATATATATATATATATATATATATATATATATATATATATATAATATAAATATAAATATAAAGTATACAGTATATGTATATATACATACAGTGCTTTGGCTTTCGTTGCAGCCCCCCCCCCTTAGGTTGAACTACCGACCTTCTCCAGGATGCAACCCTACAACAGTTGCCTAACTCGGGGTACCTATTTACTGCTGGGTGAACAGCGGTATTAGGTGAAAGCAAAATTTCCTAGCCATTTCTGTCCTGCTCAGGAATAGTTGTTTTCTCTTAATGTATTCATAATTATAATATGATTGTATTTGGTGGCTAAAATTCTAAAATTTTGTGTAGTATTACTAAGACACGAACCTTAATTATAATAATAATAGTAGTAGTAGCTGGTGGTAGTAGCATGGGAACTGTTAATATGTGGACCAGTTGCTCATACACTAGTAATGTTGCTTCCCAGCTATGACTCTGCTCTGGCTGACACAGTATGTATTTTTAAGCTGTTATTGAATTTTTACCCACCACATTGTCTTTGAAAACTGCAGTAGTTTGTCCTTTGTGGCTATTACACTCTCTCTCTCATCTCTACAGGGCACTGACCAGACCATGTTGCAGAAACTACACAAGCAGCATTCAAGACATAAACAGTACCTTAAACCCAAGTCAGACCTCAATGCCTCATTTGGCATCAATCATTTTGCTGGAGTTGTCTTCTATGATACCCGAGGTAAGACGCCAATTGTGCTCTTCTGGTTTCCATTGTATACAAGTTATTGGTTACTTCGGCTTGTTACCATATTCATGAGTGTGGATTGTCTCATGTGTGTGTACAGAGATGAAATATTGGTTATTATACTAGTTTAGTTTTTTTAGTGTTCACTCTCTAAAAAAAATCACCAGTGTTCATTTATAATACAGTTAATAACATGCAAAAAAAAAAATATATATATTACAAAGTCACAGTAAGATTACTAGGATCATATCTATAACTCACAGTATTTGTTCTTAGGGCTCTGTAACTCAAATGAAGACACTGAAGTACTGAAGACACAACTATTCAACCTGTCCTCTTAAAAAGAACGTCACTTTGGGCCGTTTGCCTGTATGGCCGAATTTGGACGTAATTTGAAAATAAAAAAAAAATGAAAAGAAATTTGGGATTTTTTTTTCAACAACAGTAAGTTAAGGGTCCTCTGATAGGTTAGGTGGGCAGGAAATTCTCATAAAGTTTCAAAACGTATGAAAATCGTTAATTTAAAGTGTCCTCTTATAACCTCTGCGCGTACGCCGGACAACTCAAATAGAAAACGGAACAGAACGTCACTTTTTGTGAATCGATTTCATTTCAAATTACGTCCAAGTTTAGCCATAGCGCGCATACGAGCCAAAAGTAACGTTATTTTTAAGAGGACGGGTTGAACTATTGACACAAATTTGCTATTAAAATAATAATACAGTAATTATAATAAAAATAATATACTGTAATAATTACCCGAGTATACCCGAGAGCCACTAACATTAGTGGTCTCGACTGAGACAGGAAGCTGGCGGCTTCTTGAAGGTCACCCCCTCCTCACCCATGATCTTTTCAATCTGTATCTTAAAAGTTAACATTGTTTTGGCATTTATAGCTTTTATTTGGATGGTGAAATATTAAAAAAATTGTTCATGACTTTTGTGAGACCAAAATTGGAATATGCAGCAGTTGTATGGTGCCCAAATCTCAAGAAGCACATAAAGAAACTGGAAAAGGTACAACGGCATGCTACAAAATGGCCTCCGGAACTGAAAAACAAGAATTATGAGGAGAGACTACAGGCGTTAAATATGCCAAAACTAGAAGATGGAACAAAAGAGAAGGATATGATCACCATTTACAAAATACTAACAGGAATAGATCAAATTGACAGAGGAATTCCTGAATCCAGCAGCTTCACAAACAAAATGACAGATTCAAGCTAAGAAAATAGAAGTGCCAAAAAAATATTAGGAAATTTTCTTGTGCAAACAGAGTGGTAGACGGTTGGAACAAGCTAAGTGAGATGGTGGTGGAGGCCAAAACCGTCAGTAATTTCAAAGCGTTAAATGACAAAGAGTGCTGGGAAGACGGGACACCACGAGTGTAGCTCTCATCCTGTAATTACACTTAGGTACAGTAATTACATACACACACATACTCAGTTTGGAGACAGGACAGAACAATTAGGAAAGGCGGTGACATTGCTGTGCTGGTGAAAGAACACCTAAAGGTACATAAAATAATGATTGCCAATTCACGAGAATTTGATATAATAGCACTGGAGATCTGCAATCAGGATGATAAACTAATGATCATAAATGCATATAGTCCACCGCCATGCAACACATGGTCAGAGGAGGAGCTGGATAATAAACGAGAGGGTCTTATAACAATAATGAGAGAGATTATGGTGAGAGCGGATAAAGATAGATCATAACTGTTGGTAGTCAGCAACTTCAACTTGAAATCCATAAACTGGGAGGCATATGAAGCTAGAACAGAGGATTTTTGGACCTGTAGATTCATAAATCTCATCCTGGAAACATTCATGTTTCAACATGTCTAACAAGCTACGAGGATAAGGGAAGGGGATGTTCCCTCCATGCTGGATTTGATATTTACCAGGAAGGAGGAAGAGATATTTGACATTCAGTACCTTCCTCCCTTGGGTAAAAGTGACCATGTCTTTTTGGGAACAAAGTATGCAATGCATTATAATCTGGAAGAAAATAAGGAGGTTAAAGCAGTTGAAAAACCTGATTTCAGGAGAGGTCATAATGGGGAACTTAGAAATTTCTTTAAGGAATTTGACTGGAAAGATTTGCTGTTATGAAATGAAGTATATGAGATGTACGTCAAGTTTTGTGAAATATATGATTAAGGCACAACAAAATTGGTACCAAAGCAGAGATGCAGAACTTTGAAACAGGATTGGTTTAACAGAAATTGCGAGAGGGTCAGGGACCAAAGGACACAAAAATGGAATCAATACAGGAAGAGGCCAAACCCCCAAACATACCAACGATACAAAGATGCAAGAAACAACTACTTGGCAGTGAAGAGAGAGGCAGAAAAATATTGGAAAAAAGGATAGCGGACAAATGTAAAACAGAACCAGGCCTATTTTATAAATTCACAAACAACAAATTGCAGGTAAAGGATAATATTCAGATGTTGAAAATGAGAAACTGATTCACAGAAAATGAAAAGGATATGTGTGAAACATTAAATGAAACGTTCTAAAGTGTGTTTGTACAAAATGAAATCTTCAGGGAACTAGACACGATAAGAATTCCAGAGAACAACATAGAGCACATAGAGGTGTCAAGAAATGAAGTGAAAAAAAATGCTCATACATACACACATACGAATTCATACATACTTAGTTTTTAGATAGTAGTATACTTACTAGTAAAGAATTCTTTAAAACAAAAACAACAACTAGGAACAAACATATATACTAGTCTCAGAAATATTTCACACACATGTACTCTATATTAGGCCTCAGATATCGTGTATTAGGCCTAGGAAGGTTAGGTTAGTTTAGTTTGTCAAAGCAACACAAGTAATAAATAGTTTTCCAGTTTGTCCAACTCAATAGTGCCGATTTCTACGTTCTAATTTCATCAATCGTCAGTATATATATACTATGGTCCTCATTGTTACAATAAGTACTACCAAAAGAGGATGAAAGGTTGGTAAATAGGTACAGCACCTAGGAGTCTGGAAAATATTGTGGGTTGCATCCTGGAAAAGGTGAGTCATTGACCTAGAACTACCTCAATAAGTCTAGCAGGTTTCCTGTACCCAAGAATGGGAAACCAAAACTTTGTTACCCAAGTATTAAGTATGAATCTCAAATAAAAATTGTCATCCACACTTCCGTGGAAATAAACATTCCATTCACCCGGGCTCTAGGAGACTCGAACTGCGAACCCCACGCATGTGAGGCCGAAGCTCTCGATTATGCTTCTGGAATCCTTCCTTATTAAGACTACTCAATAGCTCGGTCGATAGAGCTTTGGCCTCACATGCGTGGGGTCCACGATTTGAGTCTCCTAGAGCCCAGGTGAATGGAATGACTCAAATGTAATAAAGTAACCCACACACTAATCTTCAGGTTTGCCCTAAATGCTGAGTTGCTTTGTAAAAGATCTAAATACAGTACCAACTATGGTCATTGTAACCAAACCCTGTGTAATATAAATCAAATGTATGAGAAAGTCAGTAGATCACTATAAATCAAATGATGAGAAAATCAGTAGAAGCCATGATGAGGATTAGAATTTGCAAACTGGTTACTGCCAACTATGCGCCCTATCTAACTCGGCCACAACATGCTCAAAAGTAATACAACCAGGGGTTCAATTGAATGCTCTAGGGGCATATACTTGCAGGTACCCAGTGTGCAGGCTTGAAGTCTCATCATGGCTTCTACTGATTTATTTTATTGATACATCATGGTAATGTGATTTCTTTGTGTAATAAAATATATAACAATAATTTTAGAATAATGTTAGAATGAACCTTCTAGACATATTTTCAGGCTGGTTTGAGTATTGTCCTGTCTCTCTCTCTTGTATCATTATGACTCTCAACTGTACTGATGTGTAATATTGACCTGCTTTGACTGTGCATAGTTTTGTACATGGAAATGGCATGACCTTATCTGTTGAAGCAAAAGTAATGCAGCTCAAAACGTATATGTAATTTTGTTTATCTCTGCTCCAAATGATTTTGTTTTACAACACTTTCAGTATTCCTCTGTGAAAACATTGCCACTGTATTTGGTCTTGTGTATCAATAGTTTTAGAAAAGCTCCCAATGAAAATTTTCATATTGCAGGCTTCTTGGACAAGAACAGAGACACTTTCAGTGCTGACCTGCTGCAGCTCATCCACAATACCTCGAACAAGTTCCTCCAACACCTCTTTGTGGAGGACATAGGTAACTGACAAGGGAATGTATTTTTAAAGTGGCTCTTTGCAAGCTTTATCCATCATACTGGCATTTACACCATTAGTTCCAGCCATGGTTGCATCTTACATAAAATGTGTTCAGATTTATAATACCAGTATTTATTTATCCCCAACTGAAAAGTATGCACATGTACACATACACACAGTATTTACAGCCTCCAGGCTCTTAAATGTTTGCCATATCTGATATAATAGTTGACTAATTCAAGTGTTTTTAAGTTAGACAGGGAATGAGGTGTAGAAGTAGCTTGATCTGAACATTCTTCCCCATGAAAATGTTGGCCAGATTTAGCATAGGGCTCTCACATTATGTGTATCAAGTATTTTTACAGGAAAGGGATTGAGAAAAGGCAAAGAGGGCCTAAGGACAAGTTGTACTGTATATAGTTATGGCTGGTAATGAATTTTACTTCTGCTGGCATTGCAAATAGCAAATTGTGATTATATTGTATTTGTTGTTGCCATGATTATTGTCCATCATACTCCCTGACTGCACACAGGAATGGGCTCGGAGACGAGGAAGAGAGCACCAACATTGTCGGCTCAGTTTAAGAAGTCGCTCGACATGTTGATGAAGACTCTCCTCTCCTGTCAACCTTTCTTCATAAGATGTATCAAACCTAATGAGTTCAAGAAGCCAATGGTGGGTCAAACCTCTTGGGTTGGGATCAAAATGGATTTTTTCTATTTCAACTGTTATTTGTTCATCCATTTATAATTTTTGTTATTAAGTAATGGTAATGTCTTCTCACAGGCAAAATAACATAGGATAAAAACCCACATTTGTGTATTTGTGAAATTTATGTAATGAATTTACACCAAGTCTTTCGCACTCTCCTGAGTGCTTTGTCAAGGTCTGAGTGTGTGATTAGGATGAGACTTGCATCTCAACGTCTAATATTAATATTGACAATATTAATATTATTGTCTAATATTATTGACAATGAGACGTTGAAATGTAAGTCTCGTCCTAATCACATACTCGGACCTTGACAAAAGGTCTTGCGAGACATTTTCTCACAATCTTGTGAGAAATTGATATTCTCATTTATGTACAACGCTTGATGTCCAACTAGATTTGTATTTTAAATACTGGATAATAGTATTTAGTTCTTTCACATAAATTAACAAAATTATGTAAAATGATTGATTACTTTAGCTGACATTCGTAATGTTTTTTTTTTGTTGAAACTGCAGCCATGTTACCCCCTTGATCTATTAAACACTTAGAAGCAGGGTTTTTCTTGTACTGTATTGGCCCCAGATACTCTGAGAATATAGTAGTTTTTTTATAACATTAATCTTTATTATGAAATTCTTAGTTCCCCCATTTCCATTTTATTTTTTGTAGCTGTTTGATCGAGAGTTGTGTTGCCGTCAACTTCGGTATTCTGGCATGATGGAAACAATTAGGATTCGACGGGCTGGTTATCCTATTCGTCACACCTTCAGGGAATTTGTCGAGAGATACCGCTTTCTCATTAATGGCTGCCCTCCTGCACACAAGGTCAGTTTCAAAGAATCTTTGAAATAAGTTGAATCTTTGAAATAAGTTGAAGAAGGCATAAGGATGCTTTGGTGAGATTGACACATTACCTGAAATGAGAAATATAAAGTGAAAATTATTTTCCAGAAGCCTTGGGTGTGGAGAAAGGTGGTGTGAAGCTTCACTCTGAAGGTGTTGGTGTTACTACAGATACTCTAACATTGTTTCTCCTTTATTTCTCTTCCATCCATTTCTGATGGGGAGCTTTTCAACCCCTTGAAATATGAAATTCATCAGAGTGGATGAATATGATTGATAATGATAAAAGATGACAACTGTTGGAAAGGAAGAAGTCATTGAGGTTTATATGAAATATCTTTGGGACATGTGGTAATAATGATCTATATAATGTACGTAAGATGTACAGTATCATAAATAAACATTAACTGAAGTTTAATAGTATTTTAAGTTATTATATGTAACAGTTGTTCTATAAAGTGCTGTACTTAGTTCAGCTGCAGGTGCTACTACCATCTGAATACCTCAATACCTAAGCTTCAATACCTGCCATGTCTGTGTTGGAGAACTCGGTTACAAACAATAGGAGGGTTGGAAAGAAGGGTCACTAAAGTTAATAACAAGTCTATTAACTCAACCACATTTCCCTCTATCACCTTTGTTTTTGTACTGAACACCTCAGTCACATTACTGTTGTCCAGACACTACAGATGGTGGCTCTTGGGCACATTCAGGTATTTGTTAGTTTTGGTGGTAAGAATTAAGTTCAAATAAGTTCAATAAGTGAGAATTGTTACTACAGTACACTAACTGAATTTATGAGCAATCATGAGAAGTTGGAAAAATGATTAGCAAACGTGATTATTTTGTTTGAAATGAAAGTTCAGTGGGGAAAATATGGTATGTGGAGTGGTAGATCTGGTTGAGGGGTATCCTGTAGTGCAGTGGTCAGCACAATTGGTTCACAACTGAATGTCCTGAATTTGATTTCCTGCATAGGATGGAAACATTTTGGCATGTTTCCTTTCACCTGATGCCTCTGTTGATCTAGCACTATATAGGTACCTGGGAGTCAGGCAGCAGTTGACTTAAGGGGCCTTGATACGCCTAACAAGCTTCCTGTCCCCAATAACGGGGAACCACATCCTCCACGTCCCCGCTACCTGTGCCACCTGTCTAACTCATAAGTGTATGGGTGTTTACTCACTATGTATACTGTACTATTTTTATTGAAAGCTTCATTATCCATCTTGTTCTTAAGCTTACTTTGACTTTCACCAGGTTGACTGCCGAGCTGCGACAACTAAGATATGCCAGCAAGTGTTGGGTCGGGCAGATTATCAGCTTGGGCATACCAAAGTCTTCCTCAAGGATGCCCATGATCTTTTCCTTGAACAGGAACGAGATAGAGTTCTCACTAAGAAGATCACAATTCTGCAGCGGTGTGTCCGTGGGTGGTACTACAGGAGGAGGTAAGTTTGGCTCCCCATTTCAAACTTTGAACTATTGCTATAGTATTAAAACCTTCCTGATTTTTAAGGTTCCAAAGTACAATAATCATGCAAAGCCAATAAACAGCATTTTGAGCAGTCTTAAGTTAATAAATATAATAAATGTTTTTTAAGTTTCATGAGTAAGTACAAATAAGTTAAAAAAAAATCTTGGCCTTTAAGTGTTAAACTGAAAAATTCAGTTATTGGCATTTAACTTTTTTTTTTATAAGTGCTTAAAATGCCACTAAATGTATACACAGAATTTACTATGAATAAATAACTAAATAAAATACTGTAATGCTAATACTGTACTAATACTAAAGGAGAAATTGGCAAAATAAATTTATCCTTCTAGTTTGTCTTTTAACTTTTTCCGTATTATAAATCTCATTGAGATGATCCCTGTGTTGTATTGTTTACAGAAGTACTAGTTGTGTAGTACTCACCCTTTGTTGGTATGAGAGTTAACTTCGTTCAGGAATGGTTTTTGCCACCTTGTGCTGTGCAATTTTCTTATGTTTACATTAGTTTTTAGCTATTTTCCTGCCTGTCCATATTAAGTAATAACTTGATGATAATTGCTATATCAGGTTCCAGAAGATGCGAGAGAGTGCCATTATCATCCAGAAGAACTACCGCACCTACGCTCAGAAACGTCGTTATCACAACATGCGTGTTGGTTACATGAGGTTACAGGCTCTCATCCGCTCGAGGGTCGTTTCTCATCGCTTCAGACATCTACGAGGTCACGTTGTGTCATTACAGGTATGGCATCATTATTGGCCCTCATTGTTCTAGTATTTATAGTGTTCATTAACTGAACATCAAGGTTCATCACTATTCTATGAATTTTCTTATAGTTGGGTTTTACCAATTTTAAATGCATTTAAATTTTTTCTTGGTCAGTAAGGGATGGAAAGTGTGAATACACATTGATTTTTCCTCTGGTGCATATTGCTAAGTCATCTGTGCACTTATGATGAACATGGTGCCTATTGCTAAGCCATCTGTGCACTTATGATGAACATGGTGCCTATTGCTAAGTCATCTGTGCACTTATGATGAACATGGTGCCTATTGCTAAGTCATCTGTACACTTATGATGAACATGGTGCCTATTGCTAAGCCATCTGTGCACTTATGATGAACATGGTGCCTATTGCTAAGTCATCTGTACACTTATGATGAACATGGTGCCTATTGCTAAGTCATCTGTACACTTATGATGAACATGGTGCATATTGCTAAGTCATCTGTGCACTTATGATGAACATGGTGCCTATTGCTAAATCATCTGTACACTTATGATGAACATGGTGCATATTGCTAAGTCATCTGTGTACTTATGATGAACAAAATACAGTATTTGCTGAACACCTAGATAATTTTGTTTATTATATGAAGATCTGTTATGTAGGTGAGTGTAATTTGATGGGTCTAATGAATGGTAAGGAAGACAAAGCTTGTCATGATATATCATGGCAGAGGGAGATTACTGAAAAGAAGAATTGATGTTTGTTGCAGGCTCGATGCCGAGGTTACCTTGTGCGAAGAGAGTTCCAGCGCAAGATGTGGGCAGTGACCAAAATCCAGGCCCAGGTAAGAGGATTAATTGCACGTCGGCAATATCTGAAGCTGAAGCTGAGGGTAGAAGCTGCCAGACAGAAGGAAGAGGAAGAGCGAGCGCTCAGGAAGCAGATGGACAAGCGCAAGGCTAAGGAGATTGCCGAAAGGAATTTCAATGTGAGTGTCTCAATTAGTAATTCTTTTTAATATCTGAATGTTTTTATTCCTTCTCAAGCTGGAATTTCTTTACAAGTTTTTATGTACTTGTTGTTAAAAATATGAGTTTTAGAGGGTCAAGACTAAAAAATGTTGTTGTCTGTAGACAGGGTGCGGACAATAGGCAGACTTACGTATAGTTTTTCCATTGTTCTACTATATTTTGTATCTAATTTTCTCCATTACCTTTCCAGGGAGGGTTATTAATGATGATGATAATATTTTGTTTATAAGATATTCAAAGGATCATATTATACATTCGTGGTAAGTTATTAGGTTCAATACATGTATACAGTATTTTTGAAGCCACTAATTATACACTAGCATATAAATCGGTGACTCTTGTCTGTCTTCTTAAAGACTTGCATTACGATTGCCATTTTTCCTTATTTCTCAAATTTCGCCTGTGTCTAGGGTGCTGTTTTATACTGTATCGCCAGTCAGTAGTTTGCATTTATTCTCATTGTAGCAGCATGTATTAAAAGTGGCCTTGTGAATTTTTAGACTATAACAAGCAAATACATTACTGGTATTGATGTTTTTGTAACTTTTGATTATGGATTGATTGAGAATTTAACAAAAATTACAAGTAACAAGTTTGGTGGTTATAATGAAATGGTTAAATGTCAAGTGTCTATTAGAGCTCGTCAGCTTTCAGGCAGGAACTGAGGACACAGGAAGCATTCCACTCAGTCAGTAATCATGTTGTAATGTGTACAGGAGCGCATGAGGGAATTAGAGCTGGAAGAGGAGTTGCGTTCCCAGGAGGAGCGGGAGATGATGGCCCGCAATAGACTTAAGGTGCAAGAGGCTGAGAGGCAGAGAGACGAGCCTGTTGATGACTCCAAATTGGTGGAAGAGATTTTTGGCTTCCTCATCCCAGAATTTACACCTAATAATCACGCTTCTACAACAGCCTTCCCGGTAAAGAGAAACATTATAATTTGACTACAGTTTATATGTAATTGTGAAAGTTGTACTTCAATGTTTTATTATAACTTATTTTAACTTGTCAGATGTGAAAAATATATTTGAGCATTTTTGGAAATAGAGTATTAAAATGCTGTATGACAGTTACTTGCAAATAATATTCAGTAGTCTTTTGAAACTTGTAGTTAACTTCCTTTTCATATCATTGGCTTCCTATCACTTAATTCTTTTTATTTGTTCTGTTTTCCAAAATATATTTGTTATTTCCAGGGTCTACCTCCTCCTGGTAAGGAAACGGAGTCAGAGGATGAGATCATTTCAACAATACCCCATTCTACAGAGCCGATTGAGGACCTTTCCAGCTACAAATTCCAGAAATATGCAACAACTTATTTCCAGGGCAATGTCAACCACCAGTATTCACGGAAACAACTCAAACAGCCACTGTTGCAGCTCCAGACACAGGGAGACCAGCTGGTGAGTGTCCTGTGGCGTTGTTTTACCTGATCACTGCCAACTGTTAATGTGTCTAGTGTGTCTAGTGGGGGGTTGGTAGGGGGGCAGGAAGCTCACAGTTTGAAAAAGATTCCCTACTATTTTGTCACTTTTTGAAGGTGTATTAAAGAATTTGGTGGCAAGTGTGTTTTGATAGCTTCTTGGGTAAACTGTTCCACAGGTCAATTTACAAGTGTTAACCCATCTTGAAGTACAGTATAACGACATAAAGTTAATATGTACATGTTATACCATTAACCATGAATAAGAATAGAGGACATCATTTTCAGTTTTCATAAATGTTGTGGAAAGTGTATTGTAATAAATTTTGTATTCAAGACTGTTACAACTGTATAAATCGAACCAAAGATGGAAGGAGAATTAAGTGCCTTCATTGTGTCCCCCCAGGCAGCCTTGGCGTTGTGGATTACGATACTGCGCTTCATGGGTGACATGGCTGAACCCAAGTACCACATGATGGACAGAGACAACACCTCGGTCATGTCCAAGGTTTCGGCCACACTGGGCAGGAACTTCATCAAGAGCAAGGAGTTCCAGGAGGCTCAGATGATGGGCATGGATCCTGTGAGTTTATTATTATATTACTGTACTAAGGAGAGGGGGCAAACTTTGCATTAAAAACTTTATTCATAACATTTTACACAAATTGTTGCAATAATTACTGGAATGAACAGGTGTAAAACAATGTAAATCAATCTTACAGTTTTAAACATAAATTGGATAAAATTTGGCTTAAAATAGGCTTATAATTTGAACATGGTGATATAGTATATTGGTAAAAAATGTGTAGTTTACCTTATGAGTTGTGAAATAGATATTTGCTAAACATACACTATCAAATTTGGAGGAGAAGACAAACTAATTGTACCATGACGTTATCTGGTAGGATGAACGAGTCTCTGGCATGCTGGTGGCTCTTTTGTTAAGTGCTGCACCTTGGTTTGGTGCAGTACCTGTATACCTCTATAGTTTGACACATCCTTATCTTAATATAAAACTGAATTTATTAGTCTCTTAATGGATGAGCTCTTTACATTCTGCTAGGAACATCCACTGAGACGATTTCCTTTTACATTCTGTAGTTTTATCTCTTCAGTATAAACATGGAACTATGGAAACTGAATTAGTTATTTATGAGCTCTTGTCTTTTGTAATGTATTTAGTGACGAATACACCAGTCGAGTTCATTCTCAACTCATAATTGGGAATCCCAGGTTCAAATTCCAGGCGGGACAGAAATGGTTGGGCATATTCCCTATCAATTCTGTTCACCCAGCATTAAATAGGTACACGGGAGTTAGTCAGTTGTTGTGGAGTTGCATCCTGGGGAGGGTCAGTAGTTGAACCTTAGTGGGTGGGGACCTCACAGGCTGTCTGCTCCTGACAAAACAAATTATTATTAATTATTAAAAAAAATTGCCACCATGAACCTTACTTTATTTTATAAGAATAGTTGATTTATAATTATAATCAGAATTAGGCAATTAATATTTCCTTTCTCTTGAATGAATAATATACTTAAAATTTCTAAACAAAGTTAATTATAAATACACAGCTATTTTATGAATAACATTATTTAATTTACCTGATTTACCTGAGGCCAGTAACACTAGTCATGGGTGCCGGTGGCTGAGAGGACAGCATGCTTGACTTGTAATCCTGTGGTCCGGGGTTCGATTCCTGGCGCCGGCGAGAAACAAAGGGCAGAGGTTTTTTTCACCCTGAGGCTCCTGTTACCTAGCAGTAAATAGGTACCTGGGCATTAGACAGCTGTTAGGGGGGGATAAAAAAAAAAATAGAAAAAGAAAGAGCAGAGCTCAACCCCTGCAAGCACAACTAGGTGAATACTAGTGGCCTCGACGAGGGCAGGAAACCGGTGGGTTGTTGAAGGTGCTCCATTTGCCATGAAGATCCTCTCCAGGTGGATTTTAAAACCTAAAAGTGTTTTGACATGAATGGTACAAGTGTATAAATGTCAACACTTGTACATTTATGACTACAAATATTATAGTACTGTATATTCAATTTAAGTTTAACACAAGGGTACATAGTTACTGTATTTGTGAGTATACTTGTAAGTGTAAGACTTCCTTTCTATTTGTGTATGTTAGGTTGTGTACATGTCTCAAAAGAACCGCAGCATCCGCCACAAGCTAGTGTCGCTGACCCTGAAGAGAAAGAACAAGCTCGGGGAGGATGTGCGGCGACGCCTACAAGAGGACGAGTACACTGCTGAGAGCTACTCTTCCTGGTTAGATTCCAGGCCAACCTCTAACCTGGAAAAGTTGCACTTCATCATTGGCCACGGCATCTTGAGAGCAGAACTAAGGTAATAATAGTGATTATTACTTCTTACTATGTCATTACTCTATAATAATACAGTAATAAGGAGAGTTTCTACACTAAAGATTTGACCTGAGAAAGAAAGAACCAACAGCCTGGTGGACCAAACTCTCACAAGTCGAGCCTAGCCTCGGGCCGGGCTTGGGGAGTAGAACAACTCCCAGAACCCCATCAACCAGGTATATGTGGGCCTGCGGGCCGCTCCAAGCAACAGCCTGGTGGACCAAACTCTCACAAGTCGAGCCTGGCCTCGGGCCGGGCTTGGGGAGTAGAAGAACTCCCAGAACCCCATCAACCAGGTATCCAGGTATCAACCAGGTGGGAAAATAAGAACCATTTATCTTGTATAGAAGTTGTTGGATGTAGAGCAAGCAGCTGTGACTGTTAACACTTTTACTCCAGTATGCCCTTCCTCACACTTAATACTCACACTAAAGTATTTTCATATTTGTATAATACTGTACTTCTCTATTTTTTGTGATGGTACCTCCATTCCTGTTTACAGTAGAAAAGATAGTAGTGGTGGTATATTGGTCATCTCAGCTTTGCTTCTTTGTGTCTGTCTCCCCTTGTGACTTGTAGTCAAAAACTTTTCAGAAACTAACTTCTGGATGGCTGACATTGAAACATGATAGAAACTATTATTGCCCTTCAATAATATGTAATTACCCAAGTGTAGTTACAGGATGAGAGCTATGCTCATAGTGTCCCATCTTCCCAACACTGTCATATAATGCTTTGAAATTATTGAAGGTTTTGCCCTCCACTACCTTCTCACTTGTGTCAACCATGTACTGCTGTGTGAAAGTGAATTTCCTAATATTTTTTCAGCAGTTTTGTTTAATGTGCTTAAATTTATGATCTCATGTTCTTAAAGTTCCAGGTCTCAAGAATTCTTCTTAATAAATTTGTTGATTCTCGTTACTATTTTGTACATAGTGATCACATCGCCTCTTTTCCTTCTATCTTCTAGCTATGTCATATTTAATGCCTCTAACTCTCGTCGTGGCTCTTGTCTTTCAGTTCCAGAAGCCATTTATTTGCATGTTTCTGGGGGGAGCCCCATCGGCTCCCCGGAGCTTACTAGGCTGATATGCTAATGTCAGACTTTGGCATCAGTCATGTGTATGGAGTTCTATGGGCCTACCGGGGACCACGAGCCAGAACCTAACCCCGTCAGAAGAGGCAAGGGGAGCAATGGCCTATAGAAACCCCCGTGTGGTTGGAAGCAGTCTGTCTGCCATCGAGCTGGTTAGGCACCCAGAAAGGTAAGCGTCCCAAAACAAACCCCTATTCTGGTGAAAATTGCTACCACAAGCCGAACAAGTGGATAGAACTCCCCTAAAATAATCGAGCAAACAATCATGACATCACACGTCGCTGCGCCGCTGTCCGTGCAGCTCCCCCCCTCCCCAGGAGCGGGAAGGGGGGAGCCCCAGACCCATCGCGCCGGCTATCCACCCCCCAGTTCTAAGGCTGATGCTAAAGGCTGAGGTCGTGTGCTCCGGCTCCGGTGGTTGTTTCAGCACTGTACCTAGAGTGTGGTGTCTGTCTTCTAGGTGGTGCATGAGCCGGGAGTGTTTCTTCAGTACTAGGGCTGCATACGCATAGGGTTTCCTTCCCTAGGTGCCCTGTAAGTACTGCCCTTGGGGCTTGGGGTTCCCTTCCATAAGTTCCTTGGGTCCTGCCCCTGCTAGGCCATTTACTGCTTGGTTTTCGGCCGCCCCTTGTGTGCTCGGGTGTTCTGTCTCCCTTGTTTGCCTTGGGGTAGGGGGCAGTTTGCACTGGCGGGGAGCAGGGTACTGCACAGCTAGTTTTCACCAATCATAGCAGCCGGCTCTATTCCGCCTGGGTACGTTGTCCTCTTGCGGGGTTTTCTTTTTCTTTTTGTTTCTGCCTGGTGGGGGTTCTTGCCTTGGTTCTTGCCCCCTGTGTACTAAGTACTCTTCCTTCTTCTGGTGGTACCCCCTGCTAGGTCCCCGTGAGTGTACACGTCCCGGGGGTTCAGTTCTTAGAAGGTTGTTTGGTAGTTTTGGGCGCTGGTTAGCAGTACCCTGCCTGGGTTTACCTGAGTGCGAGTCCTCTTCAAGTAAATGCTCAGGACCCTGGGAAAACCCCACAGGAACGCGTGGGTCCGATGGATGTGACCTCGGGGTCCCCCCTCGCTTTGTGCGAGTTCGAGGGTTGCTCTGTCCCTTTGTCTCAGGGTGACTCTCACTGTTTTGCCTCCGTCTGCTGCCTGTGGGGTCGGTGGCACCTTCGACCTGGAGCCCTGCAAGTTTTGTTGCTTGTTTGTGGCTTGTTTACCCAGTCTTTTGCTGACTATGTGGGTACAGGCAGCACAGGCGTTGCGCATCGTGTTTCGGTTTGGCAACGCTCTTGGTTGTTTGCTCCCTGGAAGCCCCAAGACTGCCTCGTTTTGGTGATGGAGCTTGGGGGTGTTGGTTGCTTCGGTTTCCTTCCACGCCCCCTTGTCTTTCCCTTGCTGCGGTCTAGTTTGTTCATTCCCCCTTCCCTCCATGCATCTGGGTCCTTACCGTCTGTGGTTTCGGGGTCGGGGCGGGGCTTCCGTGGTTTTGAGATTCGGGCGGTCTCGGGGAATACCCCATCCAGGGTAGTGACGGGGGCATTCGAGCCTGTTCCTCCAGCTGTGTTGTACGAGTCTGCCAGTGGGCTCCCTTCCTTGGTATTTTTCGCAGCTGCCCCAGTTTTCTTGAGGCTGGGGCTTTGGGGGGACGGCTTGGCCCCGGGGCCTGATGTGTGGGTTCCCGGGGCTGGGGAGGGGCTGCCTGAGGAGCCCCGGGCTTCGTTGGTACCTGCCGGGGTTGTTCTACCCTTCGAGCGGGGCTTGCGGTTACGAGGAATGGGTTCATCCCCCTCTTTGTACGAGTTGTTGGGCGTCGGCCCCTCCCCGGGCTCGGTTCCTTGTTCCTTTAGTCCGTTGGTTCCGTCCTGTTTGTGGGTGCTCTTTGCGTTTTTTCACCCCTTTTCTTTGGACGGGACTTCCCTGTCATGTTCTCCTTTTCTTTTGGGGGTTCTGCATGACTTTTGGTCTCAGGTGCGACTGTGCTTTAGGAGCCTTCGTGGTTTGTGCTTGCTTGTGTGTGTTCTCGAAGGTTCGGGAAGGTTTTCCCTATTTCCCGTATTATTGGAACATCTGGCGTCTTTCGGTGTGGCTTCCCTCCGGTCTTTTCTGGGTTTGTTGGTCCCCTTCCGGGTTTATTCTGGGATTTCGGTCCTGTCTTGCTCTTTTGTTCCTGTGATTTTCTACGTCCTCGGTCTTGGCACTGTTTGTTTTCTTTACATACTCCTTGTCCGGGGTGCCAGTTTGGGCTACTTGTAGCCCAATTGGGTTGCTGCTTCGGTTCCTTGTCTTCCTTACATTCACCGGATATGTATGTCGCTGCTTCCTGTCTTCACTTCTGTTCCCATGCGCTGGGCTGTTTCTGCCCCTGCGCCCATCCCTCGAGTCACAGGCTGTTTGGGCTACTTTTCTTGTGCAGTAGTTCTTGTTGGTGCCTTCCTGCCGGGCAGGTTGTGCGTGTGCGCCGTGGAAGTTTGTTTTGGTCTGGGCGGTGTGCACGAGTGCTCGTGTTTTGCATCCTTTTCTCTTGGGTGCTTCGCTTCTAATTCTTCTCGCTTCTCCGGTCTGTGCCCCGTAGCTACTGGGGTGTTCTGGGTTGTGGTTATGGGGTGGATGCCGGGGTTTTCCCCGTGTTATGGGTGCGGGCCGCCTCCTTCGTCTCTCCTCTCCCCTTCTGCGTGTACGGCTCAGGCCTTCTTCCCCTGGCAGTGCTCCCGGCATCTTCTCGGCTACGTTGTGTCGTGATACGTTTGTGCCTCCATCCTGCAGGTGAGTTTATGTGGTCTGGCGTCTTTCAGCCAGGCATTGATTCTTGGTTTTTGGTGTGCAAAGGTGGTAACGGCAGGACACAGGTGCCTGCGGGAGCCTCTTGGCCCATGCGGGACAGCTCCTCATTGTACCCATCCAATCCCACTCGTATGCATGTCCGACCCATGCTTGAGTTAGTCCCGGGGCCCCGCTTCCACGGGTTACATGGTACAATTGTGGTGGTGACTGTTATGAGGTACAGTTTCCTATGTCTGGATGTTATGAGGTGCCATTTTGATGAGGGTTTTGTTACCGAGGGTGCGTGTTGGGGTTTGGTTGTGGCGTTTTGGTTGGCCCTTGCGTGTTTTCCTCCAGGGGCCTTCTTTGTTTGTCTGTGCTAATTGTTCTGATTATCTTCTCTGGGTCACTCATTCCTTGCCTGCCTTGCAGTGCCTGGCTTAGCCCTTCCAGGTTCGTTGGATTCTCTGTTCTTCCCTGGTTATCCTCGCCTCGTTGTGCTTGAAGGGTTGAGCTTTTCACTCTTTCATCCTGCTCCTCTGTAGCTCACCTGCCATATGCGTGGTTTCTGTACTTACCTTGGTGTGCTCGCCAGGTTGTGTTTGCTGGAGTTGAGCTCGGTTTTTGGTCTCTCCTCTCGCCTGACTTCTGTATGGCTTCCTGAGCCTGCTGGGCTCTGTCGTCTCTCCTCTTGACGCTGTGTGGGGGGTTGACCTCCAGCTCATCCTTTCCTCCAGCTTTCCCTTTGTCTTCCCCTCCTGACACTAGAGTCCTTTGTGATCTCTCCTGCTACTTGGGCATCTGTTCCACCTGTGTCCCCTGGGACGTCTTTATCTACCCTCTCCTTCCTGTGAGGGGTCTTGTTTGTGGTGGTGTTGTCCTCTCTGGTTCTTCTGTCTCCCAGTGTCGTGCAGTTTCCTTCCTGTCGTCTTCTTGATATCTGCTTGATGAAGTTTTGGGAGTTCTCCCCAAGCCCGGCCCGTGGCCAGGCTTGGCTTGTGGGAGTTGGTCCACCAGGCTGTTGTTTGGAGCGGCCCGTGGGCCCGCATATCCACCACAGCCCGGTTGGTCCGGCTCTCCTTGGAGACAACTATCTAGTTTTCTCTTGAGGATGTCCACGGTTCCGTCGGCAGTCGTTCTTATGCTCGCTGGTGTGGTAGTCACCTGGGGTGGAATGGGCCGCCTGGGGGTGTGTGTGGCCCTCATCTTCGCTCATACCCCTCAGTTCAGATGATGGTCTCGTAGCGACTCTTGCACTGTTTCGTTTTGGTCTTGTGTTGGGACGTGACCACCGACTGTGTGTTGTTGCTGTGCCTTTTGGCTCTCCGATTGCCAGGTTTGGTTTTCTGGTTCCTGGCTTTCCCTGCCTGTTGACTTTTTCTGCGTCTCGCAGGATCCTTTCCCTGGAGACTCGGTCGGGGCCGTGGTCTCAGACCTCCTGGCGAGCTCGCTGGTGTTGGGACATTTTTGTCCGGCAGACGTTCCACCTCCTCCTTTGCCGGCTCGGTTTTCCGGCTCTTCTTGCTCGGTGGTCGCACCCAAGATCTTCCTGCAGTTCCGCCTCTTCTCGGCTCGTTTGGTCCGTGGCGGGGCTGGTTCGGCTCTGCCTCGGGTCTCTCCCTTTCTGTTGATCAGGTGGCTTCGTTGATGGTGTCCCACCTGCATTCTTCTTCTTGGCGGCAGTGTGGGGATTTTTGGCGGTCCTTCCTTTTTCCTTCTGTCCCTTCTTCAGTTCTGTGTTTTGTTGGCATGGTCTTGTCCTTCTCCTTTGGGGGTTCAGGGCCGTCATTTTGCCACATGCTGTCGCCTCGTATCGTGCGGCGCTGGTGGAGCCGCTTCAGCTTGCTTTCGGTATTAAGGTTACTTCTGCTCCATTTAGCATGCTGCCTTAGGCGTTGTTTCACCTCCAACCTGCTCATGCGCCGCCTGAACGGTCCTGATCATTGGACAGAGTGCTCCCTTATCTTCTTCTCAGTTTGTTGTGGCCCCTTCGGTTCTGGATTGTTTCTCCAAGGCTCTTTTTTTCTGTTGGCCTTGGCCTCTGGAGGTCGGGTTGGTGTGCTTCCTGCTCTCCTCCGGCACAGGAGTTTTCTGCTTCTTCGGTTATGGTGATGGGGTTTGTTGCAGCAGTCTCCTTCTTTTCTGGCGGAGATTGAGTCGGCTGCTTTCCGGAGGGGTCTTTTGGTTGTCGATGCCTGGTTGGTTTGGCCGGGGGTGCATCATGTTGGTGTCCGGTGGCGACCCTCCACCGTTCTTTGCACGCCACGGCTTCTGTGTCCTGGGTCGCGCTTCGGGTTGATCCGGTTTCCCTCCTTCCCTGTTTGCGGGTGCGGGTCTCCTGGGTCGTCCGCAGGATTATTATGGCTAGCCAGCCTGCGGTCTCTCCCCGTGTCCATGTTCGCAAGTTCGCGGCTCTTGCTGCTGTTTTTGGGAACATGTCCTGGGCTGTCATTCGGGCGCAGGGTTTTTGAGGATCAAGCAGGGTCCTGGCTGCTTGTTATCTCGTGCGCGTTCCTGGGCCTAGTCGGGCCTGTGTCGCTTTGGATCAACAGTTGCAGCCGGTTGGCCCGACTTAGAGTGAGCGGCGACCGCCTCCCGGGTGGGTCCCTCTACTTTCCTCTGTGGGGAGTTAGCTCTGGGGAGCCGAAGGGGCACCCCCCCCCCCAGAAAACCAGCATTGAATGTAATGAAACGCCATTTTCTGGGTGAATCCCAGAGGCTCCCCAGCATCCCTCCCTCCCTCCCTCCAGTCGGCGGTTTTACACGTTTTTTGACATTCAGCCTCAGAACTGGGGGTGGTTAGCCAGCACGATGGGTCTGGGACGTGGAAAGCGGCGCGGCAACGTGTGACGTCATGATTGTTTGCTCGTTTATTTTAGGGGGAGTTCTATCCACTTGTTCGGCTTGTGGTAGTAATTTTCACCAGAATAGGGGTTTGTTTTGGGACGCTTACCTTTCTGGGTGCCTAACCCGGTCGATGGCAGACATAGAATGCTTCCAAACCACCCCGGGGTTTCTATAGGCCGTTGCTCCCCTTGCCTCTTCTGAGGGGGCCAGGTTCTGGCTCGTGGTCCCCGGTAGGCCCATAGAACTCCATACACATGACTGATGCCAAAGTCTGACATTAGCATATCAGCCTATTAAGCTCCGGGGAGCCTCCGGGAATCACCCAGAAAATGGCGTTTCATTACATTCAACGCTGGTTTTTTGCACCTTTTCCAGTTTGTTGATGTGCTGCCTAAGATATGGGTATCATACAATTGCTGCATATTCAAACTTTTCTCTCACAAAGGTTGTGAACAGTTTCTTAAGTATTCACCATCCGTGTACAGTATTTAAAAGCAACTCAGAAATTGGAAAGCGTATCACAGGCTCCTCGCACAATGTTCTTTATGTGATCCTCAGGTGACAGTTTATCTAGAACCACCAGATATTCTCAAAAGTAAACGACATGACTATATTTAGAAAGTATCATGAACATCACATGTCAGTGATAGTTGGCATGAGAGAGAAGTGATACAGTGATGGAGGTTGCTGTTTGTGTGTGTGTTAGGGATAGAGACAAAGGTCAGGGAAACATAAAGCTGAAAGGTCAATCTGGCCTAAGGGTTTACTTTATTTTGTGCTTTAAAATTTAGGGGACCCTTTGCATGTACTCACCTAGTTGTAATCGCCTACTTGTGCTTGGGAGGGGGCGTTGAGCTCTGGCTCTTTGGCCCTGCCTCTCAACTTTCAATCAACTAGTGTACAGATTCCTGAGCCTACTGGGCTCTATCATATCTTAATTTGAAACTGTATATGGAGTCTGTCTGCACCACATCATTGCCTAATGCATTCCATCTGTTCACTACTCTGATGTTAATATGTTTGCATAATCACTAAATTTTGTAATTAAATAACTGTGTATCTTCTTGTATATAAATATACAATATTTATATTATATCTGATGTAATACAGGCAATGATACCACTTTCAAAAATGTTTCATTTGTTTACCCCTCGTATTTGGACTATAGTTTGTCAAGTCATTTTCGTGGAAATAATGAATACAACCCCTTAGTTGGCTGCCCAACCTTTGGCCGAGCAGATTTTGTAGGCCAATAGTTGCTGTATTTGCCCCCCCCCATCCCCCTAGAGGTGTACATGCGGTGGTATTATTAATGTTGGCTCAGAAACAGTTTGTTGAACTCTCATCCACACCTTGAGTATGTCACACAATCTTATCAACATCATTCTGCAGTGTACTTTCAAAACACCAGGAATGTTTCAGAAAGAACTTTAACTACCAAAATAAAGAAGAGGGAACATGTTACTAATTGTGAAGAAATGTGATTTATCTAGAAAGTTTTGAGAGTGGTGTCTCTTAAGGTTCTCTTCTGTGCTGAATACATACCAACTACAACTTTGAGTGATATTACAAAGGAAATAGGGAATGAGAATTATTAATGCTTTTCAAATAAGAAAGTAATAAGCTATCATAAAGTGAAGTGTCGATAACAGTGAGATCAAAATAAAAAACCTGTCCCAGGACAGCTTCTTACGGAAAATTCAAGGTTTTCTATGAGGGAAATCCATATAACTGTCATGCTGGCATCTTGAGATGGTTATCTTGAGATGATTTCGGGGCTTAGCGTTCCCACGGCCCGGTCCTCGACCAGGCCTACTTTTTGTTACACACCCTCCAGGAAGCAGCCCGTAGCAGCTGTCTAACTCCCCAGGTACCTATTTACTGCTAGGTAACAGGGGCATTAGGGTGAAAGAATTATTTTGCCCATTTGTCTCTGCCTCCACCAGGGATCGAACCCGGAACCTCAGGACTACGAATCCGAAGCACTGTCCACCCAGCTGTCAGGTGCCCAAATAGTTGGCATACTGCCGAGTGATGAAAATCATTTAAAAGCTATCGTGGAATCAGACGAGTCAAGGACATAGGTGAGCGGCAGTCTGCCAACAGCACTGCTGCACATGTATATAAAAACTAGTTTCTGGCGATCATAAACAGAGAACAATTATCAACAGAAATTTATGCTGATGAGACTGGAATAAACTGGAGAATATTATCCTAAGATAGATGAAATGGTACAAAAAAGCAAACCAACAAAATCACTAGAGAAAGGGGCTCCTTGGCATCCCTCCCTCCCTCCCTCCCTCCCTCCCTCTGGTCGGCGGGGTTTTTTCATATTTTTGACATCCAGCCTAAGAACTGCTGGTTGGATCGCCGGCGCAAGGGGTCTGGGGCTCCCCCTTTCCCCTCCCAGAGAGGGGGGAGGGGGGTTGCACAGATGGGGGCACGGTGACGTGATGTCATGCTAATTTGCTAGATTTCATTTGGGGAGTTCTGTCCACTCGTTCTGCTTATTATTTTCACGAGAATAGGGGTTTGTTTTGGGGCGCTTACCTTTCTGAATGCTAGACTCGGTCGATGGCAGACATAGAATGCTTCCAACCACACCAGGGTTTTTATAGGCCATTGGTCCTCATGCCTCTCTGAGGGGGCCAGGTTTTGGCTCGTGGTCCCTGGTAGACAAGAACTCCATGCACTTTGACTGATGCCAGAAAGCTAATAGTTACATATCAGCCTAGATAGCTCCCGGGAGCCTCTGGGTCTCACCCAGAAAATGGCGTTTCATTACATTCTATGCTGGTATTTTATAAATTAACAAATCTTTCTTCAGACCTTGTATCCTCTCCTACATTATATATACATCTAAGATTATGATCATCACTCCACAGAGATGAAGTGTACTGCCAGATATGCAAACAGCTGAGCAATAATCCATCAAAATCTTCACATGCACGAGGCTGGATTTTACTGTCCTTGTGTGTTGGCTGCTTTGCTCCATCAGAGGACTTTGTCAAGTACCTGCTCTCCTTCATTCGTGAGGGCCCCCCAGGCTACGCTCCCTATTGTGAGGAGAGACTGAAGAGAACATTTGCTAATGGAACCAGGAACCAGCCACCAAGCTGGTTGGAGTTACAGGTTAGCAGGATGAATGTAGTTAAAAAAAAAATAGTTGCTTAGTAGAAAAAAAATTAATGCATCTCCCTGATTGGTTGTCTTAGTTGTGTCTGTATAATTAAGGTTCCTCAGTCCCATAAATCTTTGTCCTATGAAGTGCTGCTGTGGATAATTTTTATTATATTTTATTTGGTGTTTCTGTGCTGGTTCTTAGTGATGCTGCTCAGTGTTCTAGATACTGTGGAATGAATGGATGGGTGTCATTTTGAGTATCTTTTGGCATTTTCTATCCTGCTCTCCTCTCACCTTCCATGATATGCCTTCCTCCTTCATGCCTAATGAAAATGAGATAATGGTTCCATAATGATGACTTTGACAAATTTCCCTAATAATGAAAGTTGGAAATGGTGTATCAGTGATGAATGTCTCATTCCATTTAGGCCACCAAATCCAAGAAGCCACTGATGTTACCCATCACATTCATGGACGGAAACACCAAAACATTATATGCAGACTCGGCGACAACGGCCCGTGAACTGTGCAACCAACTCTCCGACAAGATAATCCTACGTGACCAGTTTGGCTTCTCCCTCTATATTGCTCTCTTTGATAAGGTAAATGATCAGTTGTCTTCCTCTGGAGATCTCCATACATGATTGACTAATTGGAGTATTTTTACTCTTATATCTTGGATGATTAAAACATAAAAACACTGAAATTTTGTTAAAAAAAAAAGCACAACTTATGAAAAAATACGTAGTTAATATAATGGGTAAATTTGTATAGAGCCCCATGATATGCAGAGTACGTAGGGAAGACCTAACACTAACAAGATGGCTGTTATATAAATAGTACATGCAGCTCTGTAGGGAATTTACATGAATGTTAACATACTGTATATTGTTTAGACTGCAATAACCATTTGTTAACCCATATCTGTAGCCATTGTTCTCCTATATAATCTTGTGCCATCCTCTTCAATCCTCGCCCTTCATATAATTTTTTGTATTTTCTGCAATCAGTGGCATATATGACCCTTTCTCTTTTGGGAGGTCATTTTCATAAATTCAGATTGAGCAAAGTTTACATAAATGTTAGGCAAGAATTAAAGTGGACATTTGTGTTCATGGACAGGTATCGTCATTAGGCAGTGGAGGTGACCACGTTATGGATGCTATCAGCCAGTGTGAGCAATACGCTAAAGAACAAGGCGCCCAGGAAAGGAATGCCCCTTGGAGGCTCTTCTTCCGCAAGGAGATCTTTGCCCCCTGGCATGATCCCACCGAGGACCCTGTTGCCACCAACCTCATATATCAGCAGGTGAGATGCTCTCGCGCTCCTTGTATTCAACCCGAGTTTAAGCTTTATGAAGTTAAATATATTATTCTTGAGTGCTTAATGTTTATTTCATACATGTGCTCACTGTCTTCTTTCCCTTTTATCAGTCCTTCACCCCTCTTGTCCCTCCCCTCTTGCCAGTCCCTTGCGGGTCTCTTTCCCCTTGCCAGTCTCTTTCCCCTTGCTGGTGTCTTTCCCCTTGCCGGTCTCTTTCCCCTTGCCGGTCTCTTTCCCCTTGCCGGTGTCTTTCCCCTTGCCGGTCTCTTTCCCCTTGCCGGTCTCTTTCCCCTTGCTGGTGTCTTTCCCCTTGCTGGTGTCTTTCCCCTTGCGGGTGTCTTTCCCCTTGCCGGTCTCTTTCCCCTTGCTGGTGTCTTTCCCCTTGCCGGTCTCTTTCCCCTTGCCGGTCTCTTTCCCCTTGCCGGTCTCTTTCCCCTTGCCGGTCTCTTTCCCCTTGCCGGTCTCTTTCCCCTTGCCGGTCTCTTTCCCCTTGCCGGTCTCTTTCCCCTTGCCGGTCTCTTTCCCCTTGCCGGTCTCTTTCCCCTTGCCGGTCTCTTTCCCCTTGCCGGTCTCTTTCCCCTTGCCGGTCTCTTTCCCCTTGCCGGTCTCTTTCCCCTTGCCGGTCTCTTTCCCCTTGCCGGTCTCTTTCCCCTTGCCGGTCTCTTTCCCCTTGCCGGTCTCTTTCCCCTTGCCGGTCTCTTTCCCCTGGCCGGTCTCTTTCCCCTGGCCGGTCTCTTTCCCCTGGCCGGTCTCTTTCCCCTGGCCGGTCTCTTTCCCCTTGCCGGTCTCTTTCCCCTTGCCGGTCTCTTTCCCCTTGCCGGTCTCTTTCCCCTTGCCGGTCTCTTTCCCCTTGCCGGTCTCTTTCCCCTGGCCGGTCTCTTTCCCCTTGCCGGTCTCTTTCCCCTGGCCGGTCTCTTTCCCCTGGCCGGTCTCTTTCTCCTGGCCGGTCTCTTTCCCCTGGCCGGTCTCTGCCTCCTGGCCAGCCCTTCATCCCTCCCTCTTGCCTATCATCTGTTCTTATAAAACTACCTTTTCTCTCCTCATACTAGTTTTCGGCTCTTCCCTGTCTCTGTTCTCTAATGTTCCACTACTCGTCTTCCATCGTTCAGTTATAAATTTCTTTGTTCTGTACTCTATTTCTAATTTTTTAAAATTTCTCTGTTCTGCCATTCCTCTACTTGGTTGTCAAGTTTCTGATACATAAATTATACTTAACTGATTTATATATTTTTTGCATTAGGTTGTGCGTGGTGTTAAATTTGGCGAGTATCGCTGTGACAAGGATGAGGACCTGGCCATGATCGCTGCTCAACAGTACTACATTGAATTTGGAACTGACATGAATACAGACCGACTCTTCAACAACCTCCCAGGCTACATCCCAGACTACTGTGTGTCTGCGGGGGATAAAGCCATTGACCGTTGGGCCAGCTTGGTCGTTGCAGCATACAGAAAGAGTTACTATGTTAAAGAGAGAGTCCAAACCCTCAAAGTGAAGGAAGATGTAGTTAGTTATGCAAAATTAAAGTGGCCTCTATTATTCTCAAGGTTCTATGAGGCATTTAGGTGAGTACCTGTGCTTTATATTTACTAGTTAAACTGTTATATTTTCCTTGAATAATATTAGTGTTCTTACGAGTTGTCTGTGTCGTGTATGGAGGCCTCTAAGGCATCAAGTTTTTTAGTATGTTTTGTGTGAGCTTGTCTGAGGAGATTCACATGATGCTTGTGACCAGTCTGTCTGTCTGTCTTTTTGATCTTCTCTATAGGTTTACTCTTTCAGTGTTGCCACTTGCTCTATCTAATGTACTCATTTGATAATTTGATAAAGCTTATTTTGTTATATTAAATTTTTCTATACTCTATTAATACTGTACTGTATAGTTGCAGTAACTGTTATTCACTGCTTTTAGCTTCTCAGTTTGATGATGCGGTATCAAGTCATAAAATCCACTTTTAAAAGTGAAATTGTTACATTAAAATACAAGGAATTCAAATGAATTACAAACAAGTACAGGGGTACCTCAGTTTAAGAGTTTAGTCCGTTCCTGGAGACAGCTCGTAACCCGAAAACTCATAAACCGAAGCTAATTTCCCCATAAGAAATAATGGGAAATTAATTAATCCATTCCTGACTACCCAAAAACCTCACTCCCAAAAACCTCACTTCAAATTAAATTTTATACCTAATTCAGTGAGTTATTACTTACCCTTGCAAGTTATTACTTACCCTTGCTGATGACTGATGTTGGCATATGGAAGATGGTGAGGACGGGGGAGGAGGAGAGGTGTTACTGTTTGGAAGGGGAGTTTCCTTCCATTATAACATTTGGCAGTAAAGATTTTTCTGGAGTACACTCTCTGGCATGTTTTGCTTGCATACCCTTTCACCCTGAATGCCCCTGTTACCTAGCAGTAAATAGGTACCTGGGAGTTAGTCAGCTGTCACGGGCTGCTTCCTGGGGGTGGAGGCCTGGTCGAGGACCGGGCCGCGGGGACACTAAAGCCCCGAAATCATCTCAAGATAACCTCAAGATATACCACTAGGTCCTGGTTGTGGCTCACTGCTTGATTTTCTCACAACGAAAAAATCCATTGAAGATTGTTTTTCCCTTCTTTGCAACACTTGTCTGTAGTAAGACATCACATTTCATTTAAAAGATCAATGTAATGGCCTGCTGCAGCTTTATCTGGGTGAGTTTTTTCAACAAAACTTTGCAGTTCTTCCCATACTTCACATATTTTCTTAATGAGGAAGGGACATCCTCTACTGCCTCTACTCACAACTATTATCTTAGGTTGAACCTTACCACTGGATTTCTTGGGACCCATGATGAGATATATAATAACAACTTTTATGCTCAAATGGCCAAAAATCCGTCAAAAGACTGTAAATCCTGGTGAAGAATTCAGGTGGGATAGTCACTGGGCGCAAGGCTCTGGTAAACTGAAGTGCGATCGCCTTGCCATCACGCGCTAGGTCGGCCCGTACGTGTATCAACACCTCGTATCCCGATCCAAATTTTCTGAGCAAATCCTGCTCATAATCCGAAAAACTCGTAACCAGGGACGCTTGTAATCCGAGGTACCGCTGTATTTTAAATTGAAGACTTGAAACAAGATGATCTTATATTCATACATTACATGTATTTAAAAAATAAGAAATGTAGAGTGAAGAATATTTATCACTTGCCAAAATGGTAAAACAGATCTCCACGGTAAGGAGAAAAAACTAAGGTTTGCACCTCATAATAAATACTTAACATCTTGTAAATACCCCTTTCTCCTCCACCAGTTGGGTAACAGTTACTCTCTTTAACCCATGATACAAAAACCTTAGTTGAATAACAAGTTTGTCTTGGTTTGAAAGTTTCATGATGTTTTAACATTGACATATATTAAGGTTAAGAATTGATTGCATATTATAGCATAGTTTTTGCCTAAATTTGACTTAATATGCTTGTTCCCTTCAGATATTCTGGACCAAACTTGCCCAAAAATGATGTGATCATTGCGGTGAACTGGACTGGTGTTTATGTTGTGGATGACCAAGAGCAGGTTCTCCTGGAGCTGTCCTTCCCAGAGATTACTACAGTGTCATGTAACAAAACACAGAAGGTCTATACACAAACTTTCACTCTGTCCACTGTGCGAGGAGAAGAGTTTACCTTCCAGAGCCCCAACAGCGAGGACATTCGGGACTTGGTGGTGTACTTCCTCGAGGGCCTCAAGAAGCGATCCAAGTTTGTCATAGCATTGCAAGATTACAAGGCCCCTGGTGAGCAATACTTTGTAATAAAGAGAAGTACATTTATAAATAATAATAAATGTTTATTCAGGTAAAATAAATACAAGATGAGTTACAAAGAGAATGTTGGATTTCTAGATAGAGCTAGTACATACTATGCCTAAAGCCACTAATACACATAGCATTTCGGGCAAGGCACTTCTAAATGTTCGAGCAAGAACATTTAACCCTTAAGCTGCTAAGGGGTCCTGAGGAGATTTACACCCCTTTGCGCAAAAAAAAAAAAATCTAAATTTTTTTTTTCGTCTCCTAAAAATGTTAATTTGTGTTCCCTGAGCATGGAGGAAAAAAAATCGTAGGTGACATATTTTGGCCACAATAAGCCAAGGAATTTTGGCAAAATGTGGCCGTTGACAGAGCAGTCATCAGAGGCGTTTTTTTTTTACAGATGTCCCATCGTGCGCATGGCGTATATATATGACATTGGGTGCCAGGCACGATTCAAATGGTCCGCAGCTACACAGGGTTCACATCAGCTTCCTCAAGGCTCTTGTAAACAGACCCAATGTTTATATAAAATCGTGGACAATATTCTCCAATGTGAGAGCCACAGTACTGTGGGAGCAACCAAGGCTGGCACACGCAGCATGAGCTAACAGCATTGCTGCTCAGCTTATGACCACAGCATCGCCTAAAAATGTCAAAATAAATATGTAACTGCTATTATTAGCAATGACAGTATTACAGATGGCCCCTGACTGTGAAAAAAATAACCAGGATTGTGATAATAATTACGACTGTTGTGATAATTAGCGCTGTGTGGGAGGAATAATACTGAGAAAGGGAGGGAGATAGTGTCGTTTACTGACTGTGTGGCCACCTGTTATTGTCTGCATTCACCATACCAGCTCAGTTCTCTATGGTGAACACAAATGTATATACTTACATATAACATGTGTATTAGTGTAATGACAGCAAAAGGATTATGTTGGGAGGAGCCATTTGGGTGACGGAGGTGGCGTCATTTGCATGACTTGTCTAGCTGTGTAGAAGGTGGCCACTATGCCCTTTGGGCACCCTACAAGCTGATGACTGCTGTGGTTTAGGGTTTGTTTTGGGGCGTTTACCTTACTAGGTGTCTGACCCAGTCAATAGCAGTCATAGAATGGTTCCAACCCTACAAGCTGATCACTGCTGTGGTTTAGGGTTTGTTTTGGGGCATTTACCTTACTAGGTGTCTGACCCAGTCAATAGCAGACATAGAATGGTTCCAACCACACGGGGCTTCTATAGGCCATTTCTCCTCATGCCTCTCTAAGGGGGCCAGATTCTGGCTCGTGGTCCCCGGTAGACATGGAACACCATGCACATTAACTGATGCCAAAGTCTAATATATCCATATCAGTCTGGATAGCTCCGGGAAGCTTCCGGGTCTCGCTCAGAAAATGGCGTTACATTACATTCAATGCTGGTTTTTTGAAATGCTGAAGTCTCGCCCCTGAAACATAAGGCATATTAAATAAAAAAACATCTATGTAAAATTTCAGGAGCCTTCATACATATTTAGTGGTGTCAACAGGCAAGTGAATATTTGGGAGTGCTACCCCAATAAGTATTTAGTGTTGGTCCAGACATTATGGTGAGAGGTTATTGTCAAGAGTTCTACAACTGCTTGGATATTTGTTTTGTGATGTCAGTGTGCAGCACTACCAATATAACTTCTTTGATAGTCTTTAGTAGTTACATCATGGGTGATGTGGAAATACTACTTGATCCAACCCATCCTCAGACCAAGTCCATTCCATCCAACGGTTGACCCCAAAGACGCATTCATCAATTTTAACATGCTGTTCATTCAAAACAGGAATTTTCTCATATATAAATTAATATTATTTTTTATTACCATATTGTACATATTTAGGCACAGGTTAGGTGTTTAGGTTCTGTTGGCGATTATTTGTTTTTGTAGAACGTGGGTACTCGCCTAGTTGTGCTTGCGGGGTTGAGCTTTGTCTCTCTGGTCCCGCCTCTCAACCGTCAATCAACTGGTGTACAGATTCCTAAGCCTACTGGGCTCTATCATACCTATATTTGAAACTGTGTATGGAGTCAGCCTCCACCACATCACTTCCTAATGCATTCCATTTATTAACTACTCTAAACTACTCTTCCAGCTGATGCATTTACAGTGTTGTGGTTTGAACAAAATTCGTTAGTTAAGCACTTGTTCTGGAAGTTTTGGAATGTCATCAATTGTGAGTTGTGTGTAAACTGTTTTTCATTCATAAAAAGGGGGTTTGGCGGGTGTATGGAATGGACTTTAGGTATTTATTTAGAAGACGGGCTGCTTGATCACATCCAAGTTGTCTGGTGGCACGAGTATAGCTGTCTGAATTGAACTGAAAATTTTCACTAATTGTTTCTATAATAAGCCTTACAATTGCAAGAGGTGAGGCATTTGGTCAGGTAGAAATATTTTTCATCCCTATAATCTTGGATTAATCCAAGATTATAGGGCTCACAAAAATTAGTTACATATTTTGAGTAGAAATATTTTAGAAAATTAATACAGGCATAGTTCAAAGATGAGTTTATATAAGAAAACAAGAGTGATACACACTAATGGCAGAAAACAATGCAGTGTTTGGTGTATATGAGAAGGTTGTTTGACAAGATAGTTTAATGGATGAAGTATGATATTTAAATGGGATAAGCTTAGGTTCAGGAAAGACCTTGATAAGTACTGGTTTGGAAGCAGACTTGTTGATTTATGGATCAAATTAGCGGATAACATAATAGATGTGGGATCACTGGAGAGTTTCAACGTAGGTTAGACATGTACAGTATATGAATGAGTCTGGGTGGATGTAAATAGGAGCTGCCTCATATGGCCAATAGGCCTTCTGTGGTTTCTATCATTATGTTTTTGTGATTTTATTTTTTAAAAGCACATTTTTAGAGACAAGTCATTAAATCTATGGCAAACTTGGCAAGTAATTATTATATTTGATTTTCTTTTGGCAGGTGAAAACTCGTCATTCCTTACCTTCAATAAGGGCGACCTCATCCTTCTGGAGGAGGACTCATCAGGGGAGACTGTTATGAATGCCAGCTGGTGTGTTGGTAGATGTGAGAGAACAAATGAAAGAGGCGACTTCCCAGCTGAAACGGTCTATGTTCTCCCTGCAGTCACTAAGCCTCCACTAGATATTCTGGTGAGTATCTCTTCTATTTATCTCACAGCACCCTAACTAAATTTAACATTTAGGAGAGCAGTGGTGAGTGTGTTATCATCTTGAAGTTCCTGCCTGATACTTGGCAGGAATGCTAGACACAGGTCAGTAATGAGGTATTGAAGAGAGCCAGAAATGTGGTTTATATTTTCCACTGTTGGGACAAGAAGCTTGCTAGGTGTATGAAGGTTACCTTAGACTCTGTTAACAGGCAATCATGCTAATATGCAATATAAAAATTAATTATTTGTTTTGTCAGGGACAGGATGCATGTGTGTGTGTATGTATATATATACTGTACTTTAGGCTGGTGTCAAGGTACCTCCTAAGGTGAGACTGCTGACTGACTCCCGGAATGCAACCCTCACATCAGTTGCCAACTCCCAGGTATCTATTTTCTGCTAGGGGGATCAGAGGTATTAGCTGAAAGGAAACATACCTAGCCATTTGTCCCACCCCGGAAGTGAACCCAGGATCCTCAATTGAGAGCCGAGAACATGTCTATAGCGTCTATATATCGTCTATCGTTTGTCTATATCAGATATAGAACAAAATACAAGTCACAGCTTCGTATCATCCTTTGCAGATGACACAAAAATCAGTATGAAAATTTCCTCGGCTGAAGACACTGAAAAACTTCAAGCTGATATTAATAAAGTTTTTGACTGGGCATCAGAAAATAACATGATGTTTAACAGTGATAAAGTCCAGGTACTCAGGTACGGTAAAAATGAGGACCTTAAACATAATACAGGATACAAAACACAATCAAATGTGCCCATAGTAGGAAAACAGCATGTAAAGGATTTGGGAATAATGATGTCTGACGACCTAACGTTTAGGGAGCATAACCAAGCAAATATTGCGTCAGCCAGAAAAGTGATCGGATGGATTACAAGAACTTTCATACCCAGGGATCCCATCACGATGGTTGTACTCTTCAAGTCACTTGTGTTGTCCCGTCTCGAGTACTGCTCAGTACTCACTTCCCCCTTCAGAGCAGGAGAGATTGCTGAAATAGAGGGAATACAGAGAACATATACGGCACGCATAGATGCGATAAAGCACCTAAGTTATTGGGATCGTCTCAAAGCCCTACAAATGTATTCACTAGAAAGAAGACGAGAGAGATATAAAAAAATATATACTTGGAAGATACTGGAGGGCCAAGTACCAAATCTACACAGCAAAATAACAACGTACTGAGTGAACGATATGGAAGAAAATGCAGAATAGAACCAGTGAAGAGCAGAGGTGCCATAGGCACAATCAGAGAACACTGTATAAACATCAGAGGTCCACGGTTGTTCAACACCCTCCCAGCGAGCATAAGAAATATTGCCGGAACAACCGTGGACATCTTCAAGAGGAAACTAGATTGTTTCCTCCAAGGAGTGCCGGACCAACCGGGCTGTGGTGGGTATGTGGGCCTGCGGGCTGCTCCAAGCAACAGCCTAGTGGACCAAACTCTCACAAGTTAAGCCTGGCCTTGGGCCGGGCTTGGGGAGTAGAAGAACTCCCAGAACCCCATCAACCAGGTATCAACCAGGTATGGCCACTGTAATACTAAATTATTTGTTTAGCATTTGGAGAGGTTAAACATAAAACATGGATTTGACTTTTTCTCTCTAAACCAACAAATTTTACAGTTTTATGTTAAGGTCAAAATAATATAGGAGAGAGGACACGATAGGTTAAATATTCCTAGACTGCCCAAAAACATTTAATACAATTTCCCATAAAAGTCTAGAACACATGATGGAGAGGGAAGCTGGGTTAAGTGGAAAGACTTTAAATGGATACTAGAGTACCTACCAAGCAGGAAACTGAGGGTCACATTTCAGAGAAAGACATTGGACTGAAGAGATGCAGCAAGCACAATCCTTGAAGGCTCAGTCCTCAGCCCATTGTTAGTGTTCTTAATACTGTACATTTTAATGACCTACCATAGAATTTACCTGAGGGCCACTAATACTAGTGGCCTCGACGAGGACAGAAAGCCGCCAGCTTGGTACCTCCATTTCCCCTGATGATCTTTTCCATCTGTGTTTTAAAACCCAACTGAGTTTTGGCATTTACGGCTTTGGCAGGTTTGTTTGTTGCCACCGAAGGCGGCTAGTTTATTGTGCACCCCATACTCATCCTGTGAGCGTTAGCGCAAAAGCATTACAGAGGGCACAAAAGGTCTTTATCAGACCTCATCTTAGATTATTACATAAACAATTTCTTCTATCCTTCACTCCTTATAGTTACAATTCCATGGGTTTATAACCCTGTGGGTGAAAAGGCATCTCCTGTTCTCAGTCCTACAATGTGGCTTGTTGAGCTTGAAACTTTTGCTTCTTGTTTGTGTTACACCTGACCTTTTGAAGAAATTGTCCAGATCAAAATCCTCCAAATTGTTCAGTATTTTAAAAGTTTCAATGAGATCTGCTCTGTCATGCCTGGTTTGCAGTGTTATTAGCCCTGTGGCCCTCAACCGTTCCTGATACAAGAAACGAGTTAGCTCTGGAATAAATTTTGTTGCCCGGTGTTGCACTTTCTCCAGATCAGCTATGTCTTTCTGAAGATTAGGTCTCCATGCCTGGATGCAATAATCCAGGTGGGGGCATACCAGAGCCTTCTTTTCCTTAAAGGTAAAGGTATGCTTGATTATCCCTAGGGTTAGTTTGGAGAGTTTGAGGGGAGGGGAGAGTTTGTCTGTGTTTGTAGATGATACAAAACTACTGAGGAGAGTACAAGCTGAGTAAAATTGAAGAGTACTAGAAGATGACCATGACAAACAGCAAGAGTGGACAGGCACATTTTTTTATTTATTTTATTTTATTTATTTATATATACAAGAGTTCTTGCATTCTTGTACAGCCACTGGCACGCATAGCGTTTTGGGCAAGTCCTTAATCCTAATATTCACACACATACATCCCCAGGAAGCAGTCTATAGCTGCTCTCTTAACTCCCAGGTACCTATTTACTGCTAGGTGAGCAGGTGCATCAGGGTGAAAGAAACTCTACCCATTTGTCTTCGCCTCCGTCGGTGATCGAACCCAGACCCTTAGGACTATGAACCCTGAGTGCTATCCACTCAGCCGTCAGGTCCCCCACATAGCTGCTAGATTTCAACCTTAAGAAGTTTAAGGTGATGAAGATGGAAAGGAAGAAAAAGATGCACAGGAAGCTATAAGAGATGGGTATTAGAATGAGACAGATTGACTTGGGAAGAGATTTATGAGTAGGATAACATCAGTGAAAGTGAACATGCTTGAGTAATGATAGGTTAGATTGTACTAACACAAGGAAAACACAAGGTCTATACAGTAGGTCTTCAAACACAACAGGAACGAGTGCCATAGGATATTTTGTAAAAAGTTTGTATTGTTTAACATGTCTCTAAATTGCCAATGAAAATTATAATCTGTTGGTAATTATAAGTTGTCAGATTTTGGAAGTTGCATTGTGATGTACTGTATATTATTTTGAAGATTATATTTTCAAGATATGCTCTTTAAGCATATTTGGAGGCCTTGTAAAAACACACTTAAAAATACTGTACTTAGTACTGTGCTATAAATGAACTGGAGAGGAGTATTAAACTACCGGTATGTACTGCAGGTAATTACCTAAGTGTAGCTACAGGATGAAAGCTACGCTCGTGGTGTCCCGTCGTCCCAGCACTTTTTGTCATATAACGCTTTATATGACAAAAAGTGCTAAGTTGGTAAGGGTGGTAAACAAGTGGGGTTCTCACAATCAAATATTTATATATGATGTGGCGCTATGAATTGGAATTCGAATTCCCAAGAAGAGCCGTCATATCAAGATCACATCAACATTCAATCGTATAAAGCAGAACATGGGTGGAAAAGAATGGTTGAAGAATTGACATCAAAGACCGTTTTCTATAACATAACAATTTATTAATAACGAGACTAACTACTACATTACCGAGTTTACGTTACGTTAATGTCTCTCAGCTGCTTCCCTAGCCTGGCAGGGCTATGGGACAACACAGCTTTTACCGGAATTTCCACTAGTCCTGAGACACTGTTACACAATGATTATTGTACTCACGTTTCTTTAAGTCCTCAACACAACACACATTTCCCTGGTCACTACCACTCTGGCTGCAGAACACCCAGTTCGCTCCTCGTGTGTCGACTGGGTGTGGCCCTAGGCTGTCCAGGGAAAGTGGCCAAAGCATGTGGCCAAAACATGTGGCCACCTCGTGGCCCTAAGGGAGTGGCCACGGGTAGCGCGTGACGTCACAGCACCCCACCCGGGTTGAGCTGGCGCATGGGGTGGGGTGGGGGTTTGGCTGGTGTGGCCTGGAGGGTGGCCAAGGTGGCCGGCGGCGTCACCACATGGCAAACCCAACACGGTGGAATACAAAGTCCAACAGGGGCCTGTAATAACACCTCACTTACACTGCCCTTATTCCACCAATTGTCCATTAACACTAGACAGGATACTCAGACCCGAGGGACGAGGGATCAATCTGATACACCATGAGGCCTGCCAGCTGCCTCATGGTGAACACTGTAAACTGTCTCTTAGCTTGTTACTGTTCCTTCCGTACCTCATCGGCCCCAATTTCACGCAAATTGGGCCTTGACACAACCCAGGATGGCAGGAGTGCCATCCACAATGAGTAACAAGGGATGACACACCGATTAACGGGGGGGTGGAGGTGGCACCCCCACCCAGCTACGTCTTTCTCAACTCGCTGCCCAGCTCAAACTCAAGATTTGGCGGGCTAGGGAAACTCAAAATGCCCATATCTCCCCCCCCTACTTTGTCTTGACCAATCAGCACTAAGCCGGCACTGTTCCCTCGTGCCGTTCCCAATCACAGCTGTTCGTGCCAAAACTCACCTAGGAGCAGAGATGCCTAAACCAATCACAGACGGCCTCACCCTGCGGCGTCCCGTGACGTCACAAGGAGGGGGAGGCCTAAAGACAATGGCGCAATGTCTCACATGGTGGGGGGCGGGCGACGTTCACCCCACTGTCCCCACCACATCTAACGGTTTTAGTCAAGTATCCTCTCACACCACTCACTCTCAACTCCCATCCTGATTAGCCTCAAATGATAGTCCATAGCATGAGCTTTCATCCAACACCCCACAAGTGTATGTTAGTTTGAAAACTTCTTGACTAGAGTCCCTAGAGCGACTAGCCTAATCTAGAAAACTAGGAAAACAAGCTGAGGGAATCTACATTCCCTCACACTGGTTACTGTACGTACCGGGTGATGCCTCTCACTGGTGCTAGGTGTGCGTCGTGCTGGTTACTGTACGTACCGGGTGATGCCTCTCACTGGTGCTGGGTGTGCGTCGTGCTGGTTACTGTACACACCGGGTGATGCCTCTCACTGGTGCTAGGTGTGCGTCGTGCTGGTTACTGTACGTACCGGGTGATGCCTCTCACTGGTGCTGGGTGTGCGTCGTGCTGGTTACTGTACGTACCGGGTGATGCCTCTCACTGGTGCTAGGTGTGCGTCGTGCTGGTTACTGTACGTACCGGGTGATGCCTCTCACTGGTGCTAGGTGTGCGTCGTGCTGGTTACTGTACATACCGGGTGATGCCTCTCACTGGTGCTGGGTGTGCGTCGTGCTGGTTACTGTACGTACCGGGTGATGCCTCTCACTGGTGCTAGGTGTGCATCGTGCTGGTTACTGTACATACCGGGTGATGCCTCTCACTGGTGCTGGGTGTGCGTCGTGCTGGTTACTGTACATACCGGGTGATGCCTCTCACTGGTGCTGGGTGTGCGTCGTGCTGGTTACTGTACATACCGGGTGATGCCTCTCACTGGTGCTGGGTGTGCGTCGTGCTGGTTACTGTACATACCGGGTGATGCCTCTCACTGGTGCTGGGTGTGCGTTGTGCTGGTTACTGTACATACCGGGTGATGCCTCTCACTGGTGCTGGGTGTGCGTTGTGCTGGTTACTGTACATACCGGGCGATGCCTCTCACTGGTGCTAGGTGTGCGTCGTGCTGGTTACTGTACATACCGGGTGATGCCTCTCACTGGTGCTAGGTGTGCGTCGTGCTGGTTACTGTACATACCGGGTGATGCCTCTCACTGGTGCTAGGTGTGCGTCGTGCTGGTTACTGTACATACCGGGTGATGCCTCTCACTGGTGCTAGGTGTGCGTCGTGCTGGTTACTGTACATACCGGGTGATGCCTCTCACTGGTGCTGGGTGTGCGTCGTGCTGGTTACTGTACATACCGGGTGATGCCTCTCACTGGTGCTGGGTGTGCGTCGTACTGGTTACTGTACATACCGGGTGATGCCTCTCACTGGTGCTGGGTGTGCGTCGTGCTGGTTACTGTACATACCGGGTGATGCCTCTCACTGGTGCTGGGTGTGCGTTGTGCTGGTTACTGTACATACCGGGTGATGCCTCTCACTGGTGCTAGGTGTGCGTCGTGCTGGTTACTGTACATACCGGGTGATGCCTCTCACTGGTGCTGGGTGTGCGTCGTGCTGGTTACTGTACGTACCGGGTGATGCCTCTCACTGGTGCTAGGTGTGCTTCGTGCTGATTTCTATACATATTACATGATGCCTCTCACTCGTGTAGTTCCTCATAAAAACACGCTTAGTGTTTGTCGTGTTCTGTATGCATGGCATGAAAATAGTTTCTCTAAGGTGGTACCGTCTCATAAAATAAATGGCTTATGGCCTGACTTAAAAGCTTGAAGCTCCCAATGTCTGTTTACATGCCTGATTTATGTTTAACATTGTCACCTGCAGGCACTGTTCACAGCTGAAGGTGCTGAACATGGTCGCAAGCTATTCACCCCACAGCTGAATGGTGCTGAACCACATGAAAAACCTCACACTCTAGAGGAATATGCTATAGATCACTTCAGGTAAGTGAAACTGAAATGGCATAAGATGTATTGGTCCGTGTGAGCCTGCTGCTTTTTCATGTCCACTGAAGCTTATTCTTATATTATATGTATGTATGTCTAATCTATTCTTGAAACAATCAGTTAGTTAGTTATCATTATGATACCAGGGAATTTGTTCCATAAATCCTATTTCCAAACTGCTGTAGTATTTACCCAGGTCTCTTCTGAATTGAAAGTTATTCAATTTATATCCATTGCTAAGTGTTCTATTTTGTGTGGATATGTTTAACACCTTATCACCATTCATTTTGTAATACTCTTTTATTCATTTGTAAATTTCAGTCATATCTCCCTTTCACCTTTCTGGAGAATGTAAATTAAGCTTTCTTAATATTTTTCATAGGGGTAGGTTTCTAACTCCAGGAACTAACTTTGTTTTTCTTTGTACTTGCTTTAGTGAATTTGTCCATTCTACTATAAGGCAACATAAACTGATCTGCATAATCTAGATGGGTCCTAATGAGAGAAAGATAAATGTGAGAAATATCATTAGATTTATAACATAAATTTCTCTTACACAGAGAGTAATCACACTAACGTGATGTGTCAATGAGAAAATCTGTAGGAGCCGTGATGAGGGTTCAAACCTATGTGGTGGGCATTCTCACACACGCCCTAGTTAACTAGACTACGATGTCGTGGCCTAGTTGACTATTGTCAGTGTCGTGGCCAATCTTTTCACCATGTGGTGGCCTAGTTGACTAGAGCGTGTGCGTAGGAACGCCCACCACATAGGTTCGAACCCTCATCATGGCTCCTACGGATTTTCTCATTAGATATCATATTGTTAATACTTCTAGATGTGAATACCAGTATCCTGTTTTTTTCAGTGTTTTCCACTTTATATCTGATAACACTTGTTATTTGGACATGAATTTCTACATTTATCAGCAGTAAACTGCTTTTACCAGTCTGTCCTCCAGTATAAAAGCTTACATATATCATATTGTAATGATTTTTAAGGCCTCTGAATTTATTTCTTGCCCTGTTTTTGTATCGTTAGCAACTTAACAAATATTTCTGCTCACTCCTGTGTTTAGCTGTATACAGTACATATATATATACAGTAATCACCAGACCTCCAGGACAGAGCCATAGGGCACACCACTTGCAATGGTTTCCAGTTGAACTTCACATTTGTTAACTCTGTTTCCTTTGAAATAATGTTCATGTCCTAATTCAATTTAGGATAACCCCATCCTAGTATCATGTGTCCTTACTTTCTAATTATTTTTCATGAGGCACAGTACTGAAGGTGTTGAAATATGCTGGAAAAGAACTGAGGAAATTAGTTAAATATAAGCTACCCTCGGTAAAACCATGTTGTGAATTATTTTTGAGATGTAAACAAATGGCTTTTGTAATTATCAATTAAAGCAGGATTCCCAACAATAGATATTAAGCTAACTGACCAATACTTCAACGCAATTGGTCCGTCATAAAAATCTGCACAACATTAGCGACTCTTGACAAATTCCGGTACTCTGTTAAACTCGAATGACTGGATTCTTATGCTGTGTTTAATGATAAACCAAATTTGTGCTTGATGAATCTGGATATGAAATTTTCATATGGGAGTTAAACTGTATTAAGGATTTATATTTGTCAACAGGCCGCCTCCAAAACGCACAGTGTCTCGGTCCATTACCCTCACATCAGCTCGACGACCCACAAATGAGTGCTTGTGGAAATATTCCAGAGAGCCTATAAAGCAGCCTTTGCTGAAAAAGTTATTGCACAAAGAGGAGCTAGCTCAAGAAGCTGTTTATGCATTTAATGCCATGCTCAAGTACATGGGAGACTTGCCATCGAGAAGAAATCGGCAGGGTAACGACCTCACGGATCAGATCTTTGATGGTCCTTTGAAACACGTGAGTATTATTACGTTATTGATTCATGCCTTGTGTAACAGTTTTTAATTTTCCAAACAATATATGGTATAGTGATGTAATTATTTTTATAATATCATTTGTTGAATGATAAACAGATTCATTTATATCAGTGTCAGAAATTCCTTATTACAGGAATATATGAAATATATTATAATATCATAAATATAATAAATAATATTATTATTATTCCTTATTAAATACAGTAGGTTTAATGCATTTTGATATCATGGATTAATTTATGTAAACAAATTCTGGGAGATGGATAAATATGGAAAGTTAGGATTTCTTCCTTATTAATTACTGAATTATTACATTCTGAATTACTAAAAATTGATGAGCTACTAAAAATCTGTTTTCAACATATATTTGCGCAGGAAATCCTCCGGGATGAGATATATTGCCAGGTTATGAAGCAACTGACGGAAAATAGGAACCGTCTGAGTGAGGAGCGTGGCTGGGAGCTCATGTGGTTGGCTACCGGCCTGTTTGCCTGCTCTCAGAATCTTGTCAAGGTAACGGTCCACTTTTATGTGCTCTCATGATAATTTGTTTTTGTGACAGAGTTGTTCACAGGTGAATGCTGACAGATATGGACTGCCCTGCTGCTGGCTCTTTAATTGAGGACAACTTTTCATATTGTTGTAGGGCCTTAGACATTTAAAGGTGCTGAATATTGTGTATTAAAGTAAGGTGCTGAATATCACTACCTTACCAAGTGTTTGAACAGTTATACACACTAGCAATCATTTGATAATTGTGCAATATAAAAAAAAATATACACACAGTGCTAATGTTTGAAGAGAATATTTGGCTCGCTTTCAGGAACTGACTCAATTCCTTAGAACCCGCCGACATCCCATTGCGCAAGACTCTCTCCACAGACTACAAAAGACGCTCAAACATGGACAACGTAAATACCCACCGCACCAAGTGGAGGTCGAGGCCATCCATCACAAAACAACACAAATCTTTCATAAGGTTAGTGGAATGTAGTGACATGTTAAAAATAAGAAAGTTATATGATGATGAGAATATATATATGTTTATACAGTAGTACTGTATAAACAAGTAGGGTTTGTGGGAGACATTTAACCCCTATACTGCGCTCACCAAGATATCTTGTTTGATGAATGGTACGCTCACCGAGAAAACTCGTTTCTCGGTATAGCGAACGAATCAAAACTTCGAGTACACAGGGCTCACCTTTCCTGCTTCAAGCCTCCAGTAAGCAGACACCATCTGAAAAAAATTGTAGGCACCACTCGTGGGTGTGAGGGCCTGATTATTGAGAAGGTAAGTAAGGGTTGTGCAGGCTGCAGCAGCTCACAGCATCACCGTGCAGCTTGTGTCCACACCATCACTTAGTATGGACGAAATAAATAAATAACTTCCATTATTTTACATTGATAGTGTTAGATAAGATCCTGACAAAGACTATGTACAAGGTTCAGATATCAATGAACACAATGTTTGTTTTGATGATCACAGTGGGAGCCAGATACTCACAGCACGCAGATGCAGTTTTGCCCATTAATGCATCGTGAAATGTGACCTCTTGTTCCACTAGAAAATAAACTTGAGGAAAATTATATTTATGATTCATTGACAGGAATTTGATGATAATAGCAGTGTTGATAGATTTTGTGATGTGCGTAGTATATTGTAGGCATTTTGCTGTGTCGGGTGACATTGTCTGCTGATCACCTGTGTCCCTATGATGTGTTTGGATTTCATTCTACACTCAACAGAACTGCTTATCATTTCATTATGGTGCATAAAAATGAAGATAGATAAATGTGATGTGTATATATATTGTAATAACCAAAAAACCTGTGTTTATTATTCAAAGAATATAATATTGTACAGTATAAATTTAATTGTAATTAATGTAATTAATTTATTTGTAATTTCAAAGCGTTATATGACAGAGTGCTGGGAAGACGGGAGACCACGAGCGTAGCTCTCATCCTGTAACTACACTTAGATAATTACACTTAAGTAATTACAAGAAAGTACATTGGGTTTGTGAGTGTGCATTGTAAGATGTGTTTACATTCTTGTAAAGCTACTTGTACACACAGCATTTTAGGCAGGTAATGTGACTGGTCCATAATTCTTAGCCAAGGCTTTGCTCCCTTCCTTGTGTAGGGGAGTTATTTCTGCTGATGTAAGTGCTTCTGCTATCTTTCCTGTGTCAGAGTTTTTCCTCCACACTACATTGAGTGCGTGTGCTACTGGCAATGCATTTCTTTATAAATATTGAGTTCCAGGAGTCTGGACCCAGGGCCGAGTGCATGGGCTGCTTTTGATTTCTCTTTCAAAATCTGTACAGTTAGTGTTGATATTGGTTATATTTTCAGGTTTGGATATTATGCATAAAGAAGCTATCCAGATCTAGAGCCTTGCTCTAGAAAATTTAATAAGTTTGTTAGTTTTTCATTTTGAATAAACATTAAATAATGTTTAGCCATGTTAGGTACTGGGGTGAAGTTAAAGCTAGCCCCCCCCCCTGCCAGTCTTAATACGGTCATAATATTGACTTCATTAATGTATGTCTGTGTGTTTAGAGAACATGTTTCACATGAGTCAGCCTATAAGTGAATGATTGCTAATGGAGTGATAATGAGAATGGCACAGCCAGCGTGAGAATGTTGATGGCTGAGCACCTTGTGTTGTGGTTATACTTCTGAACATTCAAGAAGTTTGGCCAGGTGGGGAACCTTGACAATATTGGCACTATATATAACAGTTAAGTCAATCTTTGTGAACTTTTCCTTGGTCTAAGGATTTTGTAAATGGGAGTTTCAGTGGTAGACAGTTCATTGACCAATTCTTTCACAAATTTGTATTTAGTTCCATCCACATGGATGGGAGCTCCACAGTGGGAGCTTGCTTGTGTGTGGAGTTAAGCTATGGTATGTTCTTGTGGATTAGCTTTTGAATCAGATCCTACTACTTCACTTCAAGAGTTTCCAGAGCAATGATATGACTCAAATTTATTTTGAAAGTTGTAAATTGAGTTTGCCTCAACTACTCCTTTGTTTCATTCCCCATATTCATTAGTACACTAAAGGAGGAGTGGGAAAACTTGGGTGCCGCTATGTCACTAACCATCTTTTTCTTGTATGCTAATAATTTTCTCTTGTTTCTGGCAGTGACTTGCTCTTTAACCCTTACACTGCTCAGGGGTCCTGGGGACATTTACACCCCTGTGCGCAAGAAAAAAAAATTCAAAATTTTTTTTTGTCTTCTAAACATGTTAATTTGTGTCCCCTGAGCACGGGAAAAAAAAAAATGTAGGTGACATATTTTGGGCGCAATTGACTGAGGAAGTCTGGCAAAAAGTGGGCGTTGACAGAGCGGTCGTCAAACCTGGTCAGGGTCACCCGTGCTGACAGGTGGGAGTTGCCACAAAGATATTATTACCTAATTGTTTCAATGTCTCCGATTGATTTTTTCTTAGTTTTTTGCAGTAATATTATTCAATAGTGTGTATTGTAATATATTTATATAATAAAAGTGGTGAATAATCGCTATACTCAAAAGTATGATGTGCATATTAGTGATTCAATTATTATGTTCATAAAACAATAAACAAATAGTTTTGCTGCTATTACACTCTATACACAGGTTATATATAAGTATCTGCATGTTTTGGTCACCATAACGAACCACTAAGTTAGTATTGAGAGTCGAAAAGCAACGAAGAGTTACCGCCACACACCAGCCAGCCACTCGCTGCCACTCCCTCAACACACGCACTAAACTTTCTTCCCCAACAATACCATTTGTGGTGTTATTACACTATATACAGACGTTATATATAAGTATGTATATATTTTGTTCACCACAACTGTACAGCTAAGCTGATATAGTTAGTTCAGGCACTAAGAGTCGTCTCTATACACAGATGGCGGCTGGCGGCTCCCTCACTCATTCAAGGTCACACGCACTAAACTTTCTCCCCCAACAATACTGTTTGCAGTGTTATTACCCTATATACACATAATATATATAAGTATCTACATGTTTTATGCACAGTAACTGTACACCTAAGCTTGTAGTGCGCCCGAAGAGCATAGTGGCCACCCTCTAAACAGCTAGACAAATCGTGCAGACGACGTCACCTCCGTCACCCAAATGGCTCCTCCCAGCATAATCCTTTTGCTGTTATTACACTAATACACACATTATATATAAGTATCTACATTTGTGTTCACCATAGAGAACCACTGAGCTGGTATGGTGAATGCAGGCAATAACCGGTGGCCACACAGTCAGTAAACGATGCTATCTCCCTCCGTCTTTCAGCATCACTCCTCCCACAGCGCTAATTATTACAACAATCCTGCTATTATCACAACCCTGGTTATTTATATCAGTCATGGGTCATCTGTAATATTGTCATCACTAAATAATAACAATTATATATTTATTTTGACATTTTTCGGCGATGCTGTGGTCACAAGCTGAATAGCAATGCTGTTCGCTCATGCTGTGTGCGCCAGCCTTGGTTGCTCCAACAGTACTGTGCCTCTCACACCTGAGAATATTGCCCACGATTTTGTTTAAAAATGGCATCTGTTTACAAGAGCCCTGAGGAAGCTACTGTGAACCCCGTGTAGCCGCGGGCCATTTGAATCGGGCCTGGCACCCTATGGCGTATATATACACCATGCGCAACGTGGGACATGTTACTCAGGGCATATATATACGCCATGCGCAGTTTAAGGGTTAAAAGTGAGAAATGTGTTAGTGATGATGACCAGGCTCAAAAATTGTTTACTTAACAGTTCATTCCATTAATATACTTTGGGCAAGTACTGGCATATATGTATATATCTAATAAAGTAACCTTCCTACCTACCTATGACTACAATATTTTGCTTTGTCTATTAATAAGTATTCCATGTCTGTTAGGTGTACTTCCCTGACGATACAGATGAAGCATTTGAGGTTGACTCATCGACGCGAGCCAAGGATTTCTGCTCATCTATTGCACACCGCCTTAACCTCAAGAGCTCGGAAGGATTCTCTCTGTTTGTAAAGATTGCCGACAAAGTCATTTCAGTACCTGAAGGAGACTTCTTCTTCGATTTTGTCCGACACCTAACTGACTGGATCAAGAAGGCTCGACCGTCCAGAGATGGTACAATAAATTAACCTTATTTGTAGGCTCTTATGTATTGAGAATAGTAATAGTGAGTCAGTGTTTACACACAAGACTAGACAGGTCACAATAAATTTGGAATTATTAGCTATTCAGTATTTTGAGTAAATGTAAAGTGAAATTGTAGTAATGATGTGTGTGTGTTTTAATGTGTGTTTCAGGTACTACACCTCACTTCACATACCAGGTGTTCTTCATGAAAAAACTTTGGACGAACACTGTACCAGGAAAAGACCGTAATGCTGACATCATTTTCCACTTCCACCAAGAACTTCCCAAACTCCTGAGAGGTAAATTACAAATTGAAGTGAATCTATATACTGGTACCAAAACAAACTTCTGCAGGGGAAAGGGTATTGTGTGTAGACATTTTAGTTGTCAAGCAGCACTGTTACTGGTGTTCTTGCCAGTTGTGTTGTTGAAGTGGTAGTGCTTGTCATTTGTATATGTGTATGGGGAAAGTAGTTGGAGAATTTGGGAAAAGTTAGTTGTATATGTGTATGGGGAAAGTACATATTTTTAGGAGATGCTGTGGTCACAATCTGAGCAGCAATGCTGCATGTTCACTTGGCTGCTCCCACAGTACTGTGGCTCTTACACTGGAGAATATTGTCCACGATTTTTTTAAACATGGCGTCTGTTTACAAGAGCCCTGAGAAAGCTGATGTGAACCCCGTGTAGCCGCCGGCCATTTGAATCGTGCCTGGCTGTGCTTGGTGGGACACGTTACTCATGGCGTATATATACACCATGCGCAGTTTAAGGGTTAAGGGCCACCATATCTGGTGGCCTCAACAGGGACAGGAAACAAAATTTTATTCTAATTAGATTTTGAACAGAAGTATGGTACTATCATTACATTTACAGCCTCGACAGGTAGGCAATATTATGGGTGAAAAAGCATCTTCTGTTGCCTGCCCTATGTTGTGGCTTGTTGAGGATGAAGTTGTTGCTCCTTGTGCCATTTGTATTGAGCCTTTTAATATAGTGGTCTGGATTAATATTTTCCAATTACTGTAATATGTTTAGTATTTTGTTTCGATGAGATCAGCCCTGTTGTCTGGTTTGTGGTGTTAGGTTGAGGCCATAATCTTTTCTGGTATGAGAGTTAACTTGGTTCTTGGATTTTTGTCACTATGCTGAACCATTTAAAATGTTTGTCCTTTTGAGAGTGAGGTCTCCATGCTTGGATACAAGCTTCTTTGAAGTCAAGAGTTTGTTTGATTATTCCTAGGGTGTGGTTGGCTCCTTGCCACAGCTTCTACTTGCTGAGCAATGTTCAAGGATGTGTGGTGCATTACTCTGATGTCCTTATGCTTGATCATGTTACATTATATAATTACCTAAGTGTAGTTACAGGATGAGAGCTACGCTCGTGGTGTCCCGTCTTCCCAGCACTCTTTGTCATATAACACTTTGAAATTGCTGATGGTTTTGGCCTCCTCCACCTTCTCACCTAACTTGTTCCAACCATCTACCACTCTGTTTACAAAAGTGAATTTTCTTATATTTCTCCGGCAGCTTTGTTTCGTTAGTTTAAATCTATGACCTCTTGTTCTTGACGTTCCAGTCTCAGGAATTCTTCCCTATCAATTTTATCGATTCCTGTTATTATTTTGTAGTAGTGATCATATCGCCTCTTTTTCTTCTATCTTCAAGTTTTTGCAGATTTAATGCCTCTAACCTCTCCTCATAGCTCTTGTCCTTCAGTTCTGGGAGCCACTTAGTGGCATATCGTTGCACCTTTTCCAGTTTGTTGATGTGCTTCTTAAGATATGGGCACCATACAACCGCTGCATATTCCAGCTTTGGTCTAACAAAAGTCGTGAACAATTTCTTTAGTATTTCTCCATCTATGTATTTAAAAGCAATTCTGAAGTTAGAAAGTGTAGCATAGGCTCCTTGCACAATGTTCTTAATGGTCCTCAGGTGATAGTTTATTATCTAGAACCACCCCTAGATCTCTTTCTTTATCAGAATTCAATGAAGATTGCTCACATAATTTATAAGTTGTCTGAGGTCTATGTTCTCCAGTTCCACATTCCATAACATGGCATTTACTGGTATTCACATTAAATTCCAATTGCCAAGTGGTGCTCCATATACTTATTTTGTCCAGGTCTTCTTGGAGGGCATTACAATCATCTACGTTTCTTGTCTTTCCTATTATCTTAGCATCATTAGCAAACATGTTCATATAATTCTGTATTTCAACTGGTAGAACTTTTATGTAGACAATGAACATTACTGGTGCAAGAACTGAAACCTGTGGTACTCCACTTGTGACATTCCTCCAGTCCGATACATTGCCTCTGATTACTGCCCTCATTGTTCTATCAGTTAGAAAATTTTTCATCCATGTTAGAAGCTTACCTGTCACCCCTCCTATATGTTTGTTTCCAGACTGAAAAGAGATCTAGGGGTGGTTCTAGATAGAAAACTATCACCTGAGGACTACATAAAGAATATTGTACGAGGAGCCTATGCCACACTTTCTAACTTCAGAATTGCTTTTAAATACATGGATGGCGATATACTAAAGAAATTGTTCACGACTTTTGTTAGGCCAAAGCTAGAATATGCAGCAGTTGTGTGGTGCCCATATCCTAAAAAGCACATCAACAAACTGGAAAAGGTGCAAAGACATGCTACTAAGTGGCTCCCAGAACTGAAGGGCAAGAGCTATGAGGAGAGGTTAGAGGCATTAAATATGCCAAAACTAGAAGACAGAAGAAAAAGAAGTGATATGATCACTACATACAAAATAGTAACAGGAATTGATAAAATCGATAGGGAAGATTTCCTGAGACCTGGAACTTTAAGAACAAGAGGTCATAGATATAAACTAGCTAAACACAGATGCCGAAGAAATATAAGAAAATTCACTTTCGCAAACAGAGTGGTAGACGGTTGGAACAAGTTAGGGGAGAAGGTGGTGGAGGCCAAGACCGTCAGTAGTTTCAAAGCGTTATATGACAAAGAGTGCTGGGAAGACGGGACACCACGAGCGTAGCTCTCATCCTGTAACTACACTTAGGTAATTACACACACACACACACACCAGGAAGCAGCCCATGACAGCTGACTAACTCCCAGATACCTATTTACTGCTAGGTAACAGGGGGCATAGGGTGAAAGAAACTCTGCCCAATGTTTCTCGCTGACGCCCGGGATCGAACCCGGGACCACAGGATCACATGTCCTGAGTGCTGTCCGCTCGGCCGGCCGTATGCGTGTGTGTGTGTGTGTGTGTGAGATACAATAGAAATATCTGAAGAGTTGTGTGATGTTGATGCATTGCAAGATGTGAAGAAGTGATGCAAAGGGTTACTCCGCCTCAGAAAGATGTAGGAGGTAAGAATAGTAAAAGGTGACCAGTGAGAGGGAACTGGTAGATGAGTACAAGAGTTGACAGAGTAGATGATAAGTTTGGAGAAAGAGCTGCTATTGAGCCTTAGTGCTATGTTGGCTGTGTACAAGACATATGCTCTTAAGAACACCAGGTGAAGTGTGTGGTGTTGCAGAACTGGCATTAGAGCGAGAGCAGCTGGTAAAGAAAAGTAGGGAATGTGATCCTTGTAATAAATCTGATTAAATATATTGTTATTGTATTACTGTAGTATTACTATATTACATGGTTCTGGAGCACAAATATAAAATTGTGTGGTTTATTTATATATTTTCTTGATGACAGGTTATCACCGCTGTACCAAAGACGAGGCTTCCAGATTGGCTGCCCTGGTATACCGTGTCCGCTTTGCCGAGAGTAAACAAGAACTTTCTCTAATTCCGTAAGTCTTGCAACCATGCTAATTTAATGTTCCTTGTCTATAGGTAGCAGTTAATTTTTAATGACCTGAATTTATCTCAATGGAGATAGGAAGTCAATGGCTTGTTAATGATCCCCTCCATTAATCCTGAATTTACTTTCCAGTTGTATATTAACCCCTTGGATGTTTTAGGTGGTGGTTTCATGAAAAATGGGTTCGGAATGCAATAAGTGCAGAGAAAATCCACCAGGACTATAGGTGGCGCGAACCTACGACCCCGGCTTTGTGACTGACAATGCCAGAGTTGTAGGTTTCGTGCCACTTATAGTCCTACTGGATTTTCTTGTTGATATATATCATGTTAATGTGATTTGTGTCTGTTTATAAATGATCAGAGTCCATGTGCATAGTGCAAACAGATGGTAGAAAAGCAAGCAAATGGTAAAACAGAAATAAGGCTTGAGTGAATATTAAAAACCAGCATTGAATGTAATGAAATGCCATTTTCTGGGTGAGACCCGGAGGCTCCCCGGAGCTAAACCAGGCTGATATGCTAATGTCAGACTTTGGCATCAGTAATGTGTATGGAATTCTAGAGCCTACCGGGGACAACGGCCAGAACCTGGCCCCCTCAGAGAAGCAAGGGGAGCGGCCAATAGAAACCCCCGTGTGGTTGGAAGCATTCTATGTCTGCCATCGACCGCGTAAAGCATCCAGAGAGGTTAGCATTCCAGAACAAACCCCTATTCTGGTTAAAATTGCTACCAAAAACCGAACTAGTGGATAGAACTCCCCAAAAGAAAACAAGCAAACTAGTATGACGTCACACATCACCACCCCGCTGTCTGTGCAGCTCCAATGTCCCTGGGAGGGGAAAGGGGGAGCCCCAGACCTCACACCGGCTATCCACCCATCAGTTCTGAGGCTGGATGTCAAAACATGCGAAAAAAACGTCGACCGGAGGGAGGGGGGTGGCCAGGGAGCCTCTGGGTCTCACCCAGAAAATGGCGTTTCATTACATTCAATGCTGGTTTTTAATATTCACTCAAGCCTTATTTCTGTTTTACCATTTGCTTGTTTTTCTACCATCCCCTCTGGACTGCAGCAGCCCTATCCCATGCCAGAAAAAATGGAGACGTCTGCCACCGAACAACCAAAACGCCAAGACCGAAGGAGCAGAAACCCCTGCAGAGGGGAGCAAGAAGCCCAGCGACTCAACCCCCAGAGGCAAATATCAACAGGAAAAAGAGCCGTCGAAAAACAAAACTGAACCGATGGGGCACCACCAACTGAGGAGAAGAGAGAGCACGCTGACCAGAGATCAGGACGGTGCAAGCGGCGCACGAACAGGCTGGAGGTGAAATAACGTACGAGACGGCTTACTAACGGTGCAGAAGCAACACCAGGGCCGAAAACAAGCCGAAGCGGCTCCGCCAGCGCTGCACGAAAAGAGGCGACAGTATGTGGCAAGATGACGGCCCCAACCCCCACCAGAAAAACCAAGCTGACGCTAATAACCGCAGCCACCTAAGAAGGGACAGGAGGAAATGGAAGTACCACCAAAATACCCCATACTGCTGCCAAGAAGAAGCATGCAGGTGGGACACCAACAACGAAGACACCAGACCACCAACCGGAGACGAGACACGCGAGGCAAAACGTAATCAGCCCCGACAAGGCTCATCTGAGCCCAGGAAGAGGCGGAGCCGCGGGAATATCTCGGGCGTGACCACCAAAGAAGCCCAAGCCGGCAAATAAGGAGATGGAATGTCTGCCGAACAGAAAACTCTCGAATGCGAGCAAGCTTGCCAAGAGAACAGAAACAACGGGTCCAACGTGAGACATTGCAAGACCCTGAAAAGCTTACAGGCAGGGCAAGCCGGGAAAACCAAAGAAGGTGTAAGGGTTGCCACCAGAACAATACCCGAACCAAGGGGTACGAGCAACGAAAACAGACCAAGACACATAAGTGCACCATATAACACAGGCTGAAGGAATGCCCAAGAAGCCAAGGAACGCACGAAGAAAACCCCTGCGGCAGAGGAGGAAACAAAGGGAACGCACAAGGAAGGGAAGCAGCGAAAACTGACTCCCCCCCTTCCCCATACAGCAGCTAGTACAGGCAAAACCGAGCAAAGGAGATGCCAGGAAGCGATGGGGGAGAGGCAGGATGAAAGAGTCAAAGCTCAAACCTCAGGAAACACAACCAGGGGTGGACAGTCAAGCGTGAACAGAACCCCATGCACATGGAAGGGCCAAGCCAGGGAACCGAAGACCACGAAAAATAACACAAGCAAACCCCATCACGCAAACCCCAGGCACAAAACAGCAGCAAAGTGCCACACCACATCTGGACACAGGAACAAAGACACACCACCGCAAAACACGTTACCAATGCACACGTGCAGCAGCAACATGCACCACACGCAACACGCAACATGTATGTAGCAACTTGTCTCTGTGAAGGCAGAGAACGGTGCAGGCAGACCCCAGGCCGACCCCAGACAGGGCCAATGGAGACACGACAGAGCCCAGCAGGCCCAGGAACCTGCACATCAGGCGATCGACGGCGGAGATACCTACTCGATACATGCTTCATGGGGTTCTGGGAGTTCATTTACTCCCCAAGCCCAGCCCGAGGCTTGTGAGAGGTTGGTCCACCAGGTTGTTGCTTGGAACAGTCTGCAGGCCCATATACCCTCCACAGCCAGGTCGGTCCGGAACCTCCATTAAAAAACAGGCTAGTTTTCTCCTGACGATGTCCACGAATGTACCGGCAATATGTCTTATGCTCACAGGGAGGACGTTTAACAACCGCAGACCTCTGATGGTTATACAGTGTTCCCTGATTGTGCCTATGGCACCACAGCTCTCCACTGGTACTATCCTGCATGTTCTTCCATATAGGTGGGACCAAAGAGCCAGAGCGCAAACCTCGCAAGCGCAACCAGGCGAGCCCAACCAGGGAGTACATAATCAGCACCACAACCCACACACTTCATAACACGCAGAGGTGGGTCCCCTGAATGACTCTAGCATGAGTTGGACATGCCTATGAGTGGGACTGGAAGGGTTGAAAAGGGACAGTCTCATATTTGTACATAAATATACCTCAATAAAGACAGGTATATACATATTCCCGCATCCAACGCCCGGCCGAAAGACGCCAGACCGTAGAAATTCACCTGTCGAACGGAGGCATGAACGTGACACAACCCAACAGTGCAAAGAAGATCCCGGGAGCACCGCCAGGTGAAGAAGCCAGAGCCGGACACGGAGAAGAGCAGGGTAGAGGCGAAGGAGAAGGCCCACACCCATGACCCAGGTAAAACCTCGGCGTCCTCCCCACAGCTGTAATTCAGGACACCCCTGGAGCGACGGCATATACCGGAGAAGAAAGAAGAGCGAGAGGAGAAGCACCCGAGAAAAAAGGGCGCAAAACACCAGCACTGAAAAACACCGCCCAGACCAAAACAAACTCCCACGGCGCATGCACAGGACACACTGGCTGAATTGCACAACCCGCTCTGCAGGAAGGCGCCAACTAGGACTACTGCGCTAGAAAAGTAGCCAAACAGAATGCAACCCTAGGGAACTGCTAATTAGAAAAAACAACCCATCACACGGGACAGGAGCCAAAAGACGAAGCAGCAACAACATAACCGGCCGACGAAGCAAAGACAAGGAGCCCAATGGGAACCCAACCGGGCCACGAGTAGCCCAACTGGGCTACAAGTAGCCCAATCCGGCGACCCGGACTAGGAGCCGACAGACATTCCAATAATACGGGAAGTAACGAAAACCTACCCGAACCCTCAAGCCAGAAGCAAACACCAGTCCCCAAAGGCACACAAAGGCACAGTTGCACGCGAGACCACAAGTCATGTAGAACCCCAATAACGGGGAAACATGACAAAGATACCCCATCCCAAAAAAGAGGGGAGCAACGGAGATGAGCACCCACCTACAGGACGGAACCAACCGACTCAAAGGACAAGGAACCGAGCCCGGGGAGGGGCCGACGCCCAACAACTCGTACAGCGAGGGGGTAGGAAAAACCCCACTCAGCGTAACAGCAAGCTCTGCCTAGAGAGGAGAAAAAAAAAACCTGCGGGGTCCTATGGGACCTAAGGCCCCCCCAAGTCAGCCCCTCCCCAGCCTCGGGAACCCACACGACAGGCCCCAGGGCCGCGCCGTCCCCCCAAAGCCCCAGCCGTACCAGAAAACTGGGGCAGCCGCGAAAATACTAAAGAAGGGAGCCCACTGGCAGACTCTTACAACACAGTTGGAGGAACAGGCTCGAATGCCCCCGTCACTACCCTGGAAGGAGAATTCCCCAACACCGCCCAAGTCTCAAAACCAATGAACCCCGCCCCGACCCCAAACCCACAGTAGGTACAGTGCTGAAACAACTAATGGAGCTGGAGCACACAACTGGTGCCCATAGCATCAGCCAAAGAACTGGTGGGTGGATAGCCGGCGTGAGAGGTCTGGGGCTCCCCCTTCCCGGTCGGCCGGTCGGCCGAGCGGACAGCATGCTGGACTTGTGATCCTGTGGTCCCGGGTTCGATCCCGGGGGCCGGCGAGAAACAATGGGCAGAGTTTCTTTCACCCTATGCCCCTGTTACCTAGCAGTAAAATAGGTACCTGGGTGTTAGTCAGCTGTCACGGGCTGCTTCCTGGGGGTGGAGGCCTGGTCGAGGACCGGGCCGCGGGGACACTAAAAGCCCCGAAATCATCTCAAGATAACCTCAAGATTCCCCCTCCCAGGGGGGGGGGGGGTGAAGTGCGCAGACAACGGCGCGGTGAAGTGTAATGTCATCCTAGTTTGCTTGTTTTCTGTTTGGGCGTTCTATCCACTAGTTCGGCTTTTGGTAGCAATTTTAACCAGAATAGGGGTTTGTTTTGAAATGCTTACCTTTCTGGATGCTTGACCCAGCATCATAGAATGATGGCAGACATAGAATGCTTCCAACCACACGGGGGTTTCTATAGGCCATTACTCCACTTGCCTCTCTGAG